TCTCTGACAAATGTTGGCGAAAATGAGGGTTCGCCTTTACGACATTAAGCGACTTTAGCGATGTTTAGCGACAATTAGCAACATTTGAGCGAATGTTTGCGACAGGTTTTGCGAAGATTAGCAACTATTTGCCAATTCTTTGCCACTGTTTGTTAACGTTTAGGACCTTTGCTAACTTCTGGTACTCAATGGGTCGATTTTCAAAAGTGAAAATTCAGGTATTTTAGACTTTTTATAAATTCCACATCAAGAACATGAAATCTCCTTGATAATAGAAAATATGAATGATTTGAATTAACAATTTATGCCTTTTAAAATAACTTTTACAAAATATTTTCAAAGATGCTAACAGCTTTCCATAATTGTTAAGTCCAACTTAGAGATAAGTTTAACTTAGGATCTTTGTGAACCCCCCCCCCCCCCCCCCCCCCCTGGTCATGAAGGCGAAGCAGACACTCATCATGAATATGGAAAAAATTATTGAGCGTGTTGATCCTACATAATAATTTATTATCTTTCGGCTCTAACCAAGCCACCTCCTCGTCTGGAATCGTGTGAGGTGCCCTGAAGAGAGAGAGAGAGAGAGAGAGAGAGAGAGAGAGAGAGAGAGAGAGAATTAAGAGTGGAAGAGAGAACTCCAAGTAATTAGGACGATTCGCCTACTCTTTATGTCAATTTTAGAAAGTGATCACTTTGGATTTTGATCATGAATGTACGGGTAAATCAGGGATTAAATTACGTCTACGCTGATTATAGTGACGCAAGATGTACTACATTCGTCTCAAGGGTTACACTAATAATCGAAATGTATATTGGAAAAAGACAGAATTTTGAATAATGTATCTAGTTATTGGTAGCGCGTTAATTGGAACAACCTTCATGAACCAGTTGACAATGACCCGGCCCCCGCTCAGTGTTATTTCGGGTACGCGTATGATTGTTCCCTCCCTTTAAAAGCAACCCCCTATCTCAGGACTGCCACATTTTCCGAGCCCCCCCCCCCCCACCTTTCGCGGGGTTTCTGCAGGCTTTTCCTGCCTTGGAGACCCCCCCCCCCCTTAATCCAGAACACTGGTCAACGTATGATAGTCAAGATATTTTACAACCCCTTTTTTTTTTTAATTTCTCAGGAGTCCAAAAAAGGGATGAACGTATTGAGGATTGTTTATGAACTAACCAGGATCGTATTATAGACATTATTTACACATTCTATCTCGACCTAAACCCTTTATACGATTTTTAGGACGGTTCCAAAACGTATTGACAATTTGTTTGGTGTGATGGGGGCTTTATTGAATGGGAATAGTTTCTTCAGCTTCTTCTGAACTTTTTCCATGGTCTGAAGATACGTGAATCATCCTTATTTCTTAATCCAAAAAAAGCGATATAATGTTTTAAGAGTTGCTAATCTTTGCGACAATTCCAAAGAGACAGCTCCGATCACAGCACATCCATCACCCATACACGCGCAAAGGGTTTACTTTCAATCCAGTATTTTCGTATTGTTTCTGGTTTTGTTATGCACTAAAGCCAAGCTCGAATTGACTGATATAATTTTGCTGTAGAAAACGAATTGGTTATATGATTTGATGTGATTGGATGTACTTAACAAATTTATTGTATTGGTTTCTTAAGTTAAAAAAAAAAAAATATATATATATATATAATAAGTAATTATATATTTAATAGGCTTGGAAATGTATGTGCTTCAACATGGCGATACTAACGGAAATGAGTTTTCTTAAATCAGTGTAGGATTAATCTATTAATTTAAATAGTACAAGTAGTACAAAGCGATGAGTGCTAGAACCAAAATATGGGGATATGAGGAAGGGCCGGTTAATGAGAAGACATGTATGCCTACACCTATAGTACAAAATACGTACTCATTTAGAGGCATCTTAAACTCACTTCAAGTGATCTATGTGATGAAGTTAATGCAATCGAGATTAGAATATACTTTTTTGGTAGACAGTTGCTAAAATCGATTTTGATTTATCATTATTGATTTACCAATAGAAGCCATATCGACTAGGCAATTGGTAAATCAATAATGATAAATCAAAATCGATTTTAGCAACTGTCCATATATATTATATATATATATATATATATATATATATATATATATATATATATATATAAGCCCCTTGTGGTGGGCTAATAGGAACGTGCCGAGGTGAGTGGAGAATATGGATTTCTATATAATGTTTGTCTCTCGTGTGGACTCAATGTAAAGACTTCGGATGCGATGAGCGTAGCCCTCTATCGCCCAACTCAACCGGTAGATGAGTCAATGATGAATCTGTAGAATGTATAATGCTTCTTCCTTGTTGCAGTATGTCTCACATTAGATGTTAGAATTCAGATGATTTATAAAAAGGCGAGGTCAATGGATAATATTGACCGAAGAAATTCATAGCATCCCAAATTGTGTCCAGGTTAACATTATCTGTCATTTGAAGCGATTTGCATCCTGGTCTCAATACTGATGTTCCCAGTAGACCGTCATTATCATCATCATCATCACCACCACCACCACCATCAACGCGACTATCATAATCACCATCGTTATTGCCACAACTAAATATCACCATCATCATCATCTCCATCACCACCATCATCATCGTCATCATCATCATCACCTATTCTCATCATCATCATCATCATCATCACCATCATCGCCATCATCATCATCATCATCACCAACATCATCATCACCATTCGCATCATCATCATCATCATCATCATCTTTATCATCTTCCAATATCGTCATAATCATTGTCATTGTCTTAATCAGTGAATTTTAATGGTTTATAGATTTTGATTCTTACCACGATTTGCATGCCAAGTTAACCTATTTCGTTTTAGTTAAATAATCTCATCGCCTTGTCGATTGTCTCTTAAAGATACTATGTCCTTTTTGCAGCCAACATCAAATTCTGTAGAACTTTGCAAGAATTATGAATATGTCATGTATCTCCTATCTATGAAATGTAAACGTTAGCAGTGTCCCAATATTCAAGTTATGCAAGGAAACCCGTTTACTTGCTAGACTTCACTGTCAGACACTATTGAGTGATTGACTGGCCTTTTTTTCCATATTTTGTATTAACATACATAAAATGAGCTGTAAAGGGTATATGAGCATTTGTCTACATCAATAACCCACTTCTTGTAATGGCCAAAATTAAACTGAATGAATCTTGGTGCAGCATAAAACGTACCACCATTCGGTACACTGGTCTGAACAATCATATTATTACTTACTGGCTCTATAGCTCCTAAGTCGATTTGAAAACTAATAGTCGTTATTTTCCTACATAAAGACATTTTCAACCCACCTTTTTTTAGGGAAGTTCTAAATTAGTATTGTCTTTCAAATGCCGTTGGAATTTAACCTTTTCATTTTTTTGGCCTGCAAATGGGACATAGTACCTTTAAGGTGCCATCAATCAAACACTATAACTGGCAACTTTGCGACGTATCTTGCGAGTTCCCCTCCGCGGTTCCCCTCTTATTTGCCCTGTACTAACAAACTTGAAAAAATAGATATTTCCTTAAGAACATTTTTGATCATACATTCACCCTAAATATAACTATTGCAAATATGTTTTTTATGCAACTCCTGTACTAAACAAACCTTTTCCCTTATGAAAATTGACGAAACTTCTGTTCAGAGTAAATTGGAGAGAGGCTCGCAAGATACGTCACAGTGTGGCCAATTTGTGTTTCAATAATGACAACTTCAACATATCATATCTTTTCAATTTTGTTATCGGATATTTCTCAAACTTTCACTAATTTGTTTCTTTCATTTTATCTGATTTGATTAAAACTAAGTTATTAGCAGGGCGGACCTCCCTTTCAACTGTAAATTATATTTTCGACCATGGCGCTAGATGTATAAGTATGTGTGTGTGTAGGGGGGGGGGCGTTCATATAAGTGTGGGCGAATCAAATCAATAGTTATCTTATAGATCAGGGCCCCGTCTTTGACATTAAACAATTGCGATTATTAGAATCAATCGCAACTCTTTGTAATACAGAGACACGATGAATTAATCGTCAATATTTAATATTCCCACGGCTGAAACTAAACAAAAGCTCATAATCAATCCGCTGATTAATGTGTGGGCTAGTTTCGATATCAGCCCACAAAGAATAAAGGAAATCTTACTGAATAACATAGCGGTCCCGAGGAAAGCATCGATCCTCCCACTTAAACATAGGCGTATGTCAAGGCGGCTTTGTAGACCTTTAAATTATATTTTTCAAGCACGTCATGAACATTGTGGTACTTTTTGTTATCGTATTGAAATGTTCATTATGAAGTCTATTAAAATTCATGGACATGATCATCATCACCATCTTGTATCAACGTCAGCATTTTCCCTCTTACGATGGTTACCCCCCCCCCCTTCCATTTCTTCTTGTCATGAGCATCCTCTTCATTTAGACCAACCTTACTGTTGTTTTAAAAAAACCATAATCTTTCCATTAAATATTCCGTATCCGTTTCCCCGTTATGCCATTCACTTCCAGATCCCATGCTCTTTTAACATGAGGCCTTATAGATCCTGCCTTTTATTCTCATCGTATACCTTCTACCCTCTACGATTGAGGCCAGCTCATTAATACTTCATCAACCCTAAATAACCAGGATAACCACCCCCAGCCAGCTACCCCCTAGGACACCTACCCCCTAGGGCAACCACCCGCTAGGACGACTTCCCCCTGGGACAACTACCCCCGGATAACTATCCTAGGGGGTAGTTGTCCGGGGGGGTAGTTGTCCTAGGAGGTAGTTGACTGGGGGTGGTGATCCGGGGTGGATGTCCAGGGGTAGGTGTCTGGATACACTCACATCCACCACTACTGATGATTTCTAAAGATAATAAAAACCTATCAACCTTCTCAACATCTCCCATATACGTCCCTTCTTGCTTCTTCTCTCTGTATCTCTTGCACTAAAAAAGAAGTAAAGCAAACAAGTAGTATTAATGTTGATAATGTGATTTATTCTATTTGAATAATACATGTACATGACAGTATGAATGTACCAATAACATTTTCTTATAAAAAAAATGTTTCCCCATGAAATGCAAAAATCATATTCCATAAAAACAGCCATTTGCTGTTACAAAAACAGTTCTTAACCTTTATGACCCTTTAACAGGAGTCAACCGAAAACATAACAGCAGCGCCATTTAGAAATCTTGCCAATTCACAAATCGCACAATAAATTTTTCTTACATCAAATGCAATTAAAACCTCATAGAGGATATGTTTCTTTCACAATAAAATGTACATGTCTGAGAAAATTTGCACTCAAAGTCTTAACCATGCAAAACCAATACCAATATCAATCTGTATGAGCAAACAAAACAATCTACATATAGTTATGCTGGCTTGTAAAAGGATCATAAAAATGGAATGAATACTTAAACTTGCGACCAGCGCAAGGGATTTTTTATTTACATCTTAAGTAAATAGTTTACATTTTGTGTGCCTGAGTACGTGTGCTTGAGTACGTGTGTTAAAAAGAACATTAAATTACATTAATAGTATCACCCTCATCTAATAAGCTTTTCTTTAAAAAATATAATAAAGGACATTTTGATTATTTAAAACAAATCAATAAATTCGATAATTTCTTTCGTCAATTCACTTTGCCATCAATGGGAATTCTAATCATTCCTTTTCATGATGAATCATATTGAGTAAATTAAGTTAAATGGGTACCCGGTAAGATGAGACCGTCATTGTTAATCAAACAGTTTTTGAGCGTCAAGTAACGCCCGGCTGGAATGCTCCCCAGAGAGTGGAGATTGTGCACACAGTGTGTGCGGGCAAGTATTGAATCCAATGGCCGGGATAATAATATATCTGTAAAGCGCTTAGAGACACCGTAGATGATTGTATTAAGCGCTATATAAAAGCGGAATATAATTATATTACACTAAGGAAAATTAGATATTTTAGGAAAATCAACCACATTTATACTGTGAATGCTTGATTCTACCGATGCTCTGATGCACCTCCTTACAAGGATACAGCCTTTAGAATTCTTAGAAATAAATTTGTACATTAAACACAAAATCCCAGCTATTATGTCTGGGAGCACAAATGGTTATACTAGTTTTATAATGGTTATACAAGTTTTTATGATGCTGTGAATACTTGAAAATGCGACCAGCGCAAAAGATTATATATAAAACAAACTTTCCCCCTTTTAGGGTGTGACACATAAACTATGGCAGAAATATGTAGTATACAATCAAGACAACCAAAAAAAAAAATATATAATATATGTATATATAAAATTCCCGATACTGAAGATGTAAACAGAAAGAGGGTACGAACCAATGGATGATAGGATGATGAGTATTTAAATTCTATCACATGTTGTCGGTAAACCCAGTCCATTTGTATAAATGTTGTAAACGATAACAAGCAAATAGAAAATCGGTTACATAGATGAGCTGACATACCAAGATGTTAATCATGTTTTTCATATCAGAGTTGAATCATATTAGAGTTGAAATTACTTTTACAACTTTAAAGATGCATACAGATCTTTTCTGTGTCCTCCATAACATCGTTCATTTAATTTAGTTGATCACATATTACAACCATCAAACCTTATAGGACACGTCTATGTAGTGGTAGGAGTGGTCTTTTTCTTTGCCGCTGCTAACTGCTTCTTCACAAACTCCCATTTGACTGGGCAATGGCTCTTTAATTCAGTTGCTATGTCTTCTGGTAAACTCCACGTGGTGGTGTTTGCCTTGGTGTCCAAGAAGAAGATGCGACCTTGTGTCTTACCAGGTTCATTGTCTACATGCATCATCCATCCCTGTACAAGAATGGACTCTTCCAAATACAGACCGCACGTGCACTTCTTACGGCTTGCATGGATGACGTCTGACTGCCTGCATAGCTCTAGGACCATCTTGATCCGATCCAGGTCAGGATGGTCTGCTTCTGAGTAATCATGACCCCGACTGTACTCGGATACAGGTCTAGGAATTGGCATTGGAGGGCGGTAGTCGATCTTATCCGTAGATGACGCTCCTGCTGCTTCTGCTCCTCCCACTGCTCCACCTACTGCTCCACCTTCTCCATCTTCTCCATCATCATGAGGATCCTCGTATAGCTCCATGGCGGGTTGTCTTTGAGGTGGTCCTGGTTCAGGTATAGGTGGGAGCTTGGATTGACTGTGTCTAGACTGAGTCTGATCCTGCTTCGGTGAAGGCGGTACTCGAACAAACGTCCTTGTCTGGGGCGAACCCTGAGGCAATTCCTCCACAGAATTCGCCCGACGATTGTTCTTGCCAAGTCGTTTACGCTGTCGTTCCATGGTGGTAACAACTGGCGTGGTGGGGCCATTCTTTCGTAATGTGGAGGTAGCAGCAGGCGCTGAAGACGGTGGTGAAAGGACGCCATCTCTATTACATTGTACAGGGTGCCTAAGAAAGACAGGACTGTCTGTCTTTCCTGGAATGTTTGTTTGCTCGTAATACTCGATCATGTCTTCTAGACTAGAAAACTTTTTTCCTGTGCCGACTACGTTGAAGCAGCTAGTAGCTTGAACCACTTGGAAGTGATACAAATGGAGAGGGTCGATCCTGCAAGGGGAGGGGGAGCACAGAAATTCAAAATAGATATACCGGTAAGAATAATCTAACAGCAAAAGCGTAAAATCCCACTGTACAAATGGACCGAGTGACCTTTTTAATTTTGTTTTATTGCATATTGGATTCGACACGATATGGGTTGAATCCAGCATATTAAAAGCCGCCTTTGAAAAGGTGGTCAAGTTAAGATTTGGTACATTATTTTATTTAGCGATAAATATTATTGGATGAATTTAATGGTAGCCTAATCGTGCTTCATATAGTGTCATATAACTTGTGTTAGCAGTTAATAACACTATGTTTGAAACGATGAAGAAGGCCTTCAAATATACCACATCTTGTAAAGGATGTGTTAGATGTTTCTCGTATCAAACAAGGTTATCTTCTCAAAAATGATGTCATCTTTGCTTCTGTGTACCATATATAGTCACATCGTATTCACAAATTAAACGATATCATGGAACACAGCCAATATAGGACGGTTCAAACAGTAATTACAATAATTAATCACAGTAGTTATGATGCAATATTTACATGAAACGAAAATGAAATTGACTTGTAAAAACACATAATATGGGTGGACGTAAAACCAAAATACTTCTGCATTATAATGATGATCATCCCACATCAAATACTAGACTATTGATATTAAGTTACACGTTGCTTTATGAGTAATGTGTCGCATGATAAAGGTTAACACTAACAACAGACCAAATTTGACCTGTAAACTTGTCACATTTGCCATTAAAGAAACGAGAGGGGGGGGGGGGGCACACACTGTCTGGACGTGAAGTTTCACTTCCTTTTAGTATTCACAGTAATTGAAGAGCTCCTTAAACAAGAGGAAACCGGAGTCTGAATGAGGAAGTCATTATCTATAAATATAATCTGAATAGTCGCAAAAGACTAGTAAGCAAATTATTATATGCAAATACACATAAAATAGTATATTTCTTTCTTCCTTACTCAGATAGTATTGTGCTTCCTCATCGTACACGACAATATTGATATATAGACAATCATAAATATCACTTTGAAGTCATTTTGTTAATTTCCTAATACATGTACTCTCTTAATATCACTTAAATTGTATATCCTTATTAAGACTTAAATCATGTTAAAAGATCTTTAAAATTAATTAAAATAGCCATGTTTACACAATTAAAAGTTTTAACGAGATTGACTTTTGTAAATAAATCTTTGAGGACTTAAATCTTCTCGTCAATCAGAATGTTCGTAGATGTTGTCATGCGTGCGCACGCAGTCAAAAGTACATCTTATTGGATATAAACATTAAACCACTATATAGCCTTGAATTTTAAGTATTTTATCGATGGATTTAATATGTTAAGTCATATGAAAGTCTTGTTTTCAATTCCAAAAATATGTCCCCGGTTTCGAAATATCTTGGACTTTAAAAAGGAATCCTTCGGACTTGAAACTAAGTCTTAGAAATTAAGAAAGTCAACCTTGTTATACCATACACCAATCTCAGTGTATCCAAAAATATGTCCCCGGTTTCGAAATATCTTGGACTTTAAAAAGAAATCCTTCGGACTTGAAACTAAGTCTTAGAAATTAAGAAAGTCAATCTTGTTATACCATACACCAATCTCAGTGTATTTGGAATGCATCTTTCTGAAATGTCCTCATGAATACTTACACGACTGACATGGTGACTGCTTGTGAATTGCTCTTGCTATCTCTCATAAGATATGAGCCAGTTTTAAAAAGATGATTTTTGAATGCCTCTTCCTCCTGTATGAACGAGATTAGGATGATATGAATGAAATACACGATTAATGTTTAAAGGTACAAAAAAGTCTGTCTGTAAAAAAACAGAGTTGGGCAAACTTGAAACAGACAGAATATCCTGGAGAAAGTTCATCCGTGGGGTCACCAGGAATTGGGGAAGACCCGTTAGCACTTGACAACAACAAACCAGATTGGATATGAATCGGGACTGTTGACCAATGATTGGATGGGGACGATCCCATTCACTGGCCTCATGTACTTCTCAACACCGTTTGTTTCTAAATATATTTACTTCACATGTTTCATGTTAACTTTTATGTCATCAGTCTTATAATACATCACGCATGTTAATTAAAAATGGAAGTAGAGAAAGGACGAGTTTCAAGTATTTTTTCATGTACAATGGTGTGACATTATACGTTGTAATTGCAAATAGTGAACAGTACTCGTAAGTCTAAGACATATCTAAACAATCTTGATCAGGACTAGATCACTCAAGTACATCATGATAACTATTCCATAAAGAGTAGAAAGCACCATTTACTTTGAGAACTTGAGAGAAATTTATTGCAATTATAGATTTTGCGAGGTAGAAATAACCAGATTGCGAAGTAAAATATGCAATTTGCCTTTAGAACCCGACCATAACAGATTGAGGTGGAATTTGTTTTCTTCTTTTAATAATCTACTTAGTGCCAGTGTGTTCCTGATTCGTGAAGTCGTAAATTCAGTGAACTGTGGTATATAAAAATATTATTATCAAATAAAGATAACAAATTCCTCGCAAAATATTCCCTTGAGGTTTTGCAATTTTTTGATCCGTAAGGGCCATGCTTAAACATTGAACTTCAGTTCATGATGAAATATTTTTAACCTCAAGCATGAATTTTGTTAAATTGTTTAATAGTCTTGTCATTAGGGTTTAATTTAACATACCTCTTAATTTCCCGTCCATGCATATTTTGTGATTATACTCAAACTTGAAATATCATTGGTCCCTAATTACACACAAAGACTTGGTCCTCAAAAAGTACGTTAAAATCAGCTTTGTGTACTATCGAAAGACTAGAATACATGAACTACAAGAGAAAGTTCAAGTGAAGTTTACTGCTCATTACCATTCAGATGCAAGGGCGAAATTGCAAGTCGACAAATGTTTACACGTGACAGTGCTTAACCGCTTAAAAATGCACGAGTACTTAAATTGGAAAATCTAGTTGAGTATTTCTAAGAAAGAAATCTCATAAAACATTAAAAATAAAAATAAAGGTAACCAAAGTGCAAAGGGAAAACGACCAGAAAAAAACTAAACACATACGATGTATTTTGATAATTACTACATGACATCGCATTTCATCACCTTCCGTGTTTGTAAACTTAATTCATTCTGTTTAATCTACGTATTCAGAACGTACCCCTTTCCCTTTCATTCTCTGCCTTTTATTATTCATTCTGGTGGTTTGTTGTTTAAAAAAAGATTAAACACAAGCAACAAAAAAACTAAAACATAAAAAATTCTCTCCTCTATACAGTATTGAGCTATTCAGCTATTTTATGATATCACGTCATAAACTTAATGTGGGGTCTCCCGGGGGTCTCCCTATTATTAATGATCGGCGGTATTTTTCTTGTAATAGGTTTGTTCAATAACAATTTCCTTTAAAAATTCGCTGTCAAAATTGTATGTGAAATTAGAGTCTCAAGTAGATAACGGATTAATCATAAATGCTAGCTGCCTCTCGCAACCATGCAACCCCAAAGCAAAGTCAATAACATTGTTTAGATTGCACCTGTGTGAATAAATCGGTATTGAATCAGGCGATCATTGTGTCTAATTTCTCCCGTTTTACCACGGTGGAATGGTTGGCTTTTGGCGGGGGATTTCACATAAAGGATACCACCACAATATGGTTCACTCGGTTCACGCTGATGTCTTCTTAACAATAAAAACTTGTTTGTTAACTTTGTCGAGTGATATGTGACATGTAGTATTGAGATCTCTACGTATTTCGCAGTTCAGCTTATTTATGACTCATGTAGTCTCATTGTCTGTTGAGCAGTAATCGTCTTTGTTATATAGTGTACTAACGTCCAAGCTTAAAACACTGTTATTCAATTGAGAGTGAAACTTAACTCACATATCCCTGCATGCAGAGTGTACCAAGCTAATAAGCACCAGTAAATTGTAGTCGAATATCGACGACTTGATTTGGATTCAATGTTTAAACAAACATACACAAGGCATCTATTAACTTAAGTAACATTAATTTGTGTAAAGGCATCTTAATACTATATCATTATGTGTCATTTTAACGAAAAGAATTAGACCAACCACAACCATCTTTACCACAGCAGTTTGATATCAATCAAGACAATAACAAATCGCCATTAAACGTCAACCCTGTGACCCACTCTCTTTCAGACTTTAAAAGTGTATGACAACAACAACATCAGAGCAATATGACCTTCGTGTACGCCATGCCAAATCATCGATTCATAAAAAACGGGATAAACCATTTTTTTGCAGAAATGTGTCTATAAACGATCCCAACAATTACACGAAGAAATTATAAGAACTCATTAGGGACTAGAACTATCATAGAACTATCATGAGAAATAATTGGTTGGAACGTCTCTACTTTAATAAAAATGACTGTGAAATGTTGTTTCTTTGCCACCCGTTTGATGTTTTGTTCGGGGGGGGGGGGGTACTCACATACGGGGGTGCCGCTCTAATGGGTGACTTTTCCCCAAAAAAAATCCCTAAAAATGTTCCACTTTTAACAAAAAATACCATTAAAATGTGTCCGTTTTTTTCTTCAAAAAACATCCCGAAAATTGTGGAAAATGGGTCTTTTTACGAGAAAAAAATGCCCCAAATGACCCCCAATAATGGGTATGGTTTTCAAGGCTTGAGCGGCACATCCCCATCCAAACCAAATCTGACTATCCTCCCCCTCCCGGTTTTGTTTGTTTGTTTTGATTTTAATATTTTATCCTGTTCAATGTGTTAATATATTTCATGAGTTTTGTCTGGGGCTGTCGTATTACCAAGCAATCTGCTTACAATGACAGTCCTTCTTCCGCAAATAATTTTATAATGTTTTATCATGTTTGAGGAAATTTAGTATTTATGACAGTTTATCATTTCGTTTTTGAAAATAACAATTTATATATATGTATTTGCTTATTTATGATTCATTGTCAGAAAAATACTTATTGTACTTTATATTATCATTGTTATCGAAAAACTGTATGTTTACATGAATGCAGAAGAAAATGTTGTATGCTGTATCTCACCTGATCTTCAGTGAGGTAGGCATGGTAGAAAGCGAAGCCGGAAGCATGCTCCGAAATCCTCATCGAAGATAAAGGTCTGTTTGGAGTTCCAGTCGTATCACGCGCACTTTGTGTCTGGCCTCCATTCTTAATATCAAAGACAATAGAATTCATAAACATCGTGATAATGGCATGTTGTAATTACGATTCGAAAAATTGGTTTCAGTCCCACAGCATTACGATATAAATCAATAGTTTTCCTCCGAAAGTAAAACTGTCTGTGTGTCTTCACGTAGTAAGCGATAAATGTGAGGAGTTGAGAGTGCATATATTTGCAAGTTCTTTGTGTTGTTGAGTTATGAACTTACATCGAACTATTTGTCACATGAATGCTTCTCTTATTATATCCTGGTACAATTATCATCGCGCAATCACAATGCAAATATAACGTTTTATTCGTAGAATTTACAGTTAAGTTGCTTAAATTATTGTTATGGGATTTTTTTCCTTCTGAATATCATTTCTTTTTAGTTCATGTCGTTCATTCCATAAACGCATGAATCACCGTCATAAAGTGCAATTTTGGAATTTTGATTGGAAAATTTATATCCTCAATTATTACGACATACTCCATTAAACATTCATTATTGTTGTTTTTTCATAATTAGTAGTGCTTCTACGAGCAATTTTGCTGTTAAGGCATTACTTACTGCTTGATCAACAAGTTGCAACGGAGGTGGTATATGTCGATTGCGTTTCTGTCGTCCAGATGTTCCCGATGATTCGGTCCCATTCCCGGTAGAGGAAGACGGTCTGTTCCCGGGACCGAAGGAATTATTTGGTCTAAAAAATTTCATCATACCTGCCATTAGGGTATCACTCGTTCATTACCAGAGATATATTCTTCATAAATGATGACTTTTCCGATTAGATATGAAATTCAAGCGAGACATGGCTCGTCCCTTGTGCAAGTTCACTTTGTAGGGCTCTTCCCTCTTCTTTCCAACATATCCACGTTGTCGTTTAATTTCTCCGTAAAAAGACAAGGATGAGATCCAACACCTTTGTCAGATCCTCTTGAGTTCACTGCAGAGATTTACAACGAGTTCACTGAAGTTCCATGCTTGCAATTATCCATAGCATCTCCGTCCTATTAAAAAAAAAAAAAAAAAAAAAAAAAAAAAAAAAAAATATATATATATATATATATATATATATATATATATATATATACACACACCTATGAATAGAATTATCCTCTCCCTATTTATATCGCTGAAAATAGAGTCGCTGACCTGTACCTTCGAACATTGTAACACGCAGTAAATAAATATCAAATAAATCGTCCTCATTATCTACGACATGCAATAAATATTTTCATTCATTGTTGACATGCTTTATGAAAGGGGAAGAAAGCTTTTTCCCCGTGTGTTTAAAAAACAAACAGAATTATGCATGAATATACAATGTAGCTTTGTTAAATCATACGAACAAAAACTATTTAATGTGGTAAGAACTAGCTAAAGGTAGTTCCTTATTATAAAAGGGGATGGGGCCAGGGTGTACCTGTGCCATCTAATGTTGAATAGCCCATCGATACAATGCAATACTAAGTCAAATCAACACATTAAGAATATACTGGCTCCTGAATCATTATTCAGTATGTGGTAGAAAGAAGAAAAAAATCTCATAAGCTTCCGAAAATCATCTCATAATTTCAGAGTATGATTAATCATGTGATTACTCCAAGGGAAGGCTAATCGCTAATTGCTATAATGTGGCTAACGTTCGAGACTGATATGACTACAAAATGAAGTAGAACAATATGAAATTCGGAAATGATAATGGGATGCAGAAATCCGAGGTCAAACCTCCATACAAAAAATATCTCTTTGAAGTGCGATGGCCCCATAACTCATAATAATGACCTGTAGACCTTGTATATTACTAGACTAGTTGACTATACGTACATGTAAATGACCGTGATTAATTGTTAAGTATTTTATCACAACAAATGCCATTTATAGATTGACGTAATATGACATTGACCATTAAAGACGGCACACTGCATTCTGTCCTTTCTGTTATGTAACAACAAAAGTTAGATCTGTGTTTCTGAATAAAATATTTCAATTCCAGGTCATAGAGCTTATTAGAGCTCACAAACCAGGCCCCTTATTTTCTTCACAAGAAACATAATTTTTAAACGTTCTGTCATAAGACCGGGATATAGTTTCCCGTGACAGATAAAAAGAGGCCAAATAATTTATGTCCATGGTCAAATCTTTCGGAAATTGCCTAATCAAATAATATCACAGAATGCCATTAACCATCAATATGTTAACCCCCAAATCTGGACCGCCCACTCGCTATATTACCAAAATTCACATGGTCACATTAAGATAATTATTCGTCCAAAATTAAATGCGGTTTGAACTTTGAAGAAAAGAAAATAGGAAAGAACACCATCAATTTCATACAACTTTTACTTTCCAGACAAGTTCGCAGACTGGTGACAGAGTTTTGATAAGGATCGATACTCGGATCAATACACTTTTATTATGTTGAAGCATAATTAATATGACAATACACTGTTGGTCATAAAGGTGGAATAATTATTTTTATCCCAATTTATGGAATGATTTTGACGATGAAGTATTCCTAATAGATCTAGATAATATAGTATAGGCCTACATTCTTAGACTTTATTGAATAAAAATTGGCGAGTGTTTGTATTGCGGGACTGCTAAATGATAATTGTTCTACTATGCTAATCAAGCAGGGGACCTACGTCTTTAAGTCATAACTGACAGTAATTAGGATTAATGCCTCACAAAAGGGCACTGATATAAACACATCGACACGGTTTTGATCCTGGGGCCTCACAGTAACGAGGCTATTGTTTGGCTACTGAATCGTGACTGTGCGCAGCCGGGGCTAGGGTACGCCGCCACCCCACAAATACGGCAACAACAAAAAATGCAATAAATTATCAATAATTCATTGCATTTTCCCCCGGTCCCCAACAGGAAAAAATCCTCTGTATAGGGCAATGCATTATTGTACAAGGCTTGGCCACACACAGGATTTTTTTCTGTGAGGAATCGAGGCAAAATGCAATAAATTATTGATAGTTCATGGCACTTTTGTTTGTATCTGTGGGGGCGGCGGCGTACCATAGCCCCCGCTGCGTACAGCCATGATTCAGTGGCTATGCGATGGCATCGTTACTGGAGGCCCCAGGATCAAAACCGTGTCGCTGAGCTATAAAAGTGACATTTTGTGAGGCATTAATCCTCATTACTGTCAGTTATGACTTAAGGACGTAGGTTCCCTAGTCGATTAGCATAGTAGCACACATATGCTTTAGCAGTCACGCAAAACAAACACTCGCAAATTATTATTCAATAAAATCCGAGATTGTATACTATTATCTAGATCTATTAGGAATAAATCATTGTCAAAATCATTCCATAAATTGGGGTAAAAATAATTATGCCACCTTTATGACCAACAGTGTATATCAGGTAGACAGTTAGGCAGTCAGTTAGGTAGCAGGATATTGAGCTTTGACGTATTACATAAATACGATGACATGACCCAAAACGCAAATACATCCACTGGTGGTCGTGAAACCTCTTGAACTACTACATGATTTGATAAATTGACATGAAAATGTTTGGCACAGACTTCAGGAGATCACTTCATTCTCTATATAGAAACTCCATCAGAACAGGATGTATTATGTCATGCAAATCAAACAATTGAATATTCGTATGTGGAACATTTGATTTCCAACCCGTTAAAAACCTGAGATACATGTACATTAGAGCTCTAAGTTTGTACAGTACGGTATCCATAGGTTTGTTTTTTATTTAATTTTTTAAATAAATCTTTGCCCGGAAATTATTAAGTAAAAAATAAATAAAATAAAACTGTTCATATAGCAATTAAACACATGTCTACATGCCAGGTTGATACTAATGCATGGGCCTGGTGTAAAATATTTATTATTGACATCATGTTCATTATTATTGACTTTACGAAGTTGTAGAATTGTTTTTTAGAATGTATACGCGCGCTATATAAGTTGAAATTATCATTATTATTATTATTTATTCAGGCAATAATCTTAGAATTCAGGCAAACACAATTTTGTCCATATTATATGCACATTTCTTTATGTGAGAATATCGAACAACCAAATATGCCTATATAGTATACCGCGGCATAAGCAACCAGTAGCACATAGGTGTGGTATAAAATATATACCAATGCCGCCCTGTATTGCAGGCCTACTGTATCCTGCATAATCATATATCTACACGTACACTGTATATAACTTTTAACAAAGATTAAGAAAGAAATGTTCCCATCTTTCTGAGTACTGGTTATTTAGGCCTACCTACAAAGAAAGATTCCACGAAGCGGTCATATTCAGAAATAACCACAACATGCATAAAGGATATATAGACACCAATATTTAATTGACTTACCATCAAACGTTGCACTGTTTCCCCCGCCAATGGGTGTACTACATAGCAGGCACTAGCTTCCGCCAACAACAGAATCATAACATTGCATGTTCGTCCAGAATCACCAAAACAGTTCAGAAAATCGGATTAAGTAAGTCATAACATTGCATGTTCGTCCAGAATCCACCAAAACAGTTCAGAAATCAGATAAAGTTAGTCCTTTTCTCTCCTTATGATATTGTATTCTCGAACAAACGATTAAAATATGTGTATAACAATCACACCAGCTACTACTTGGTCATATAGCAAGCCTTCGACTGACAAGAGTGCTCAGATCGATAGCTACATAATGTACAAGCAGTTATATGAATATTTTTCTTCTTTCGGTTTCTTTTCAGAGTTTAGCGTGGTATTATTATGGTGACGCACTGTGTGATAAGCCTATTATGGAACTTCTATAGCTATCTATATACCTGGTACTACATGTACCACTAACATGTATGGGTGAATATAATACTTGCACGCACGTTCGCAGAGCGCAGTCATATAAAGGGGTTATTATTGGGCAAGAATACAATCCAAGGGATTTTCTGTTGGTTATGTTTGCTGAAGTCTGGTTCAAGGGTCAGAGCTTGAATACATACCGCTGGCGAATATCCGTATATATGATGGGCATCCCCTCTACTTTATACATGTTTTTCTTCCCATATGATTGTTAGTAGTTCAATGTTTAATCATGGTCTTAATTAGCATTTACTTCTTGGATCAATGCTACAACAGCTCTAGGGATCGTATTACATTAGTAATATGAGAGAGTTGGAATGGCTTCCTGGTAATACTTTATTCAGCCTTTGCAATTTCAAAAGATTTCATGTTCTTGTCAATATATTGGCGAAGTTTATCCAATTAACGGCCGATGTGTCTTATAATGTAGAAGGACATAATATATTCTGCAAATTAATGATTTAAGGTGGTCGAGGCTTGTAAAGCGGCATAGCCAGTGGGTGTAGTGTAATATAAAGGGTAATTTGGGGCATCAGTCCTACTCTTATCTAAACTTCTATCTAAACTTATCTCATCTTTCCCCCCCCCCCCTGGGGAAAAAAAGGGGGAAAGGAGGGGGAAAGAAGGGGAAAAAAAGGAGGGAAAAAAAGAAGGGAAAAAAAAGAAGGGAAAAAAAAGGAGGAACAAAAAGAGAGAGAGAGAAGGAAAAGAAGGGAAAGAGGAGAGAAAGGGAAAGAAAGAAGAGTAAGAAGAAAAGAAAAGGGGAAGAAGTGATCGTGGGGGGGCGAAAGAGCCTCGCCTCCCCCTCCCCCAATCAAAAAAATAAGAGAGAAGGAAGGAAATAGAAAGAAGAGGTATCAGTTGCAATTTTCCGCCACCAAGTTGTGGATCGGGTTGGGGGTGGGGCAAAATGCCCTTGCTTCCCCCCGCCCCTCTAAAAACAAAAGAGAGAAAGAAGGAAAAGGAAAAAAAGGAGAGCTAAAAGGGAGCGGGAAAAAAAGGTGAAAAGAAGGGAAAATAGATCATTTGCAGTTAATCCCGCCAACAACGTGTGGAGAAGGGTGGGGGCCGAAATGACCTTGCCTCCCCACCCCCCCCCCATCAAGCCTAAAAGAGAGTGAAGGAAGGGAAGGGAAAGGGAAAGAGGAGAGAAAGGGAAAGAAAAAAAGAAAGAAGAAAGGTAGGGGAGATCAGTTGCGATTTTTCCGCCAACAAAGTGTAGATCGGGGGGGGGGGGGGGAGGGGCGGGGCACTGGCGTATTGATCGTGGAGAGGGCTCGGGGGAAATAAAATTAAAAAGTGGTTTATTTCTAATTCCATAACGGTGGTTTACACATAATGCTCAAATGACATAATTTTCCGAGATTTTGCCTCATTCTTTAGTAAATTATACATTTTAATGCGTTTGTAAATTAACAGCCAGGCAAGAAATATGCTTCTTGAGATGCCTACATGTCAGGGCCCGTGGAACGGCGGGGATCGGAAGCCTCCAGCTCCCCCCCCCCCCCCCCCCCAATTTTTTGAAAAGCATTTTAAAGAGAAATAGAAAGAAAGAGAGCAAGAAAGAAAGAATAGTTAACTACCAGTGTCACAACAAAATAAGGTATCAAAAATTGCTCATCTGACCGTAATTAAACGCCTAAAACCCCTGAGCTTCTGGGGGCTCCGCCCGCTGGACCTCACGCCAATCAGTGTCCTGCCAGTGTCACAAATAAAGTATAAAAATATTTTAGTCCGGCAGCCAAATCCAGATTATTGGCCTAACCTTGTTTTAGGGTCTATAGTTTTTTTTTCAATGGATTATGATTGCCTAAACCTTCTGTTTGAAGAATCCGATTGCTGACACTCTGTCAGCCTTGAGCAATTTAAGATATGTGACGTCATACAAAATGGCCGCCAAAGTACATGATTTTTCACTAAAAATGTATAATAAATATATAATAGGGCCTTTTCTACAATTTTGGGCAGCCAAATGTCTGTATCTCTCTACGACCATCACTAAAAATTGTTTCGTGATGTTGCACGGCCATAGATGACAAGCTAATTTGCATATTTTGAAATAGCGCCCTCTATAAATATATTAATTTTGCATAAAAAATAGGTGTGCTAATTTCTTTTTTCTCAATGGATTATGATTGCCTAAACCTTCTATTTGAAGAATCCGATTGCTGACACTCAGTCAACCTTGAGCAATTTAAGATATGTGACGTCATACAAAATGGCCGCCAAAGTACATGATTTTTCTCTAAAAATGTTTAATAAATATAAAACAAGGATTTTTCTACAATTTTGGGCTGCCAAATGTCTGTATCTCTTTAGGACCATCACTAAAAATTGTTTCGTGATGATGCACGGCCATAGATGACAAGCTAATTTGCATATTTTGAAATAGCGCCCTCTATAAATATATTAATTTTGCATAAAAATAGGTGTGCCAGCCAAATGCCAATGTCTTAGATCTACGTCACGTTAAACACATATTATATGCTTCGTATGCATGAAATAATTACGATTGTGCAGCTTTAACCTTACATATTTTTTGGTCTAAATTAAGATACATGTAAAGAAACCAAGATCTACAAGAGAATCAGTGAGAAGTGATTTTACGGTACATTATTGTTCCATTCATAGGCTTTATTTAGATCAGCATTGATCCAGCGTTAGTGAATGATGATAAAGCATTTGGCATCGGTACCAGACAGATGCATGAGTTTTAACAGAAGTTACCTGGTGGATTCTATGACACAATTTCCAAGAAAGTCTACAACGGGTACCTGACAAAAATTGTCAGCCCAGACACCAACTGTAAACCAAAGTGTTTGTGGAGTTTCATAAACGGCAAGCGATGCGATGCTTCAGGGTTGGCTCCATTGAAATAATCTAATGGAATGACTTACTCAGATAGCCTCTCAAAGGCGAACATTCTAAGTAATCAGTTTTCACCCATCTTCAACTGCAATGAAGAAATGACTAGTCTGAGAGACAAAGGACGAAGCCCCTACCCAACCATGGATCAAATTAATATCTCGCCACCAGGGGTTCTGAAGATCCTGTCTGAGCTTGATGTTCATAAAGCCACTGGTCCTGACCAAATCCCAGCCAGACTTCTGACCACCAAACTGACACCTGTGTTCCCTCTATTCTTCCAAGCCTCCCTTAACCAGAGCGTGCATACCTGATAAATGGAAGATGGCTATATATATTGATCCCATCTTCAAGAAAGCTGACCGTAGCAAGCCAGAGAACTACAAAGCTCTCTCTCGGACGTCAGTAACCTGTGAAGTACTGGATCACATCGTTCTTAGCAGCAACAAGAACCACCTTGAAAGCCACAAGATCTTGTCTGATGCACAACATGGCTTTCGAAAGAAGCGATCCTGCGTCTCACAGCTTGTCCTTGCTGTCCTGGACCTTGCCAAAGGCATCGATGCCAGAGACCAATTGGACATGACACTCCTTGGTTTCTCCAAAGCATTTGACAAGGTTCCCCATGGAAGGCTATAGCTGTTACACAAGCCCCAATTCTATGGAATCCGGGAACCCACACATGCTTGGTTTTTTTGGCTTCCTGAGTTACAGGACCCAGCAGGTGTTACTGGAAGGACCCATCTCCAACACCAGCCAAGTAACATCTGGCATCCCGCAAGGCAGCGTTATCGGCCAGATGCTGTTTCTCCTCTTCCTCAATGATCTGCCACCGTACCTCTCCCCAAAACCAACAGTCAGGCTCTTTGCTGACGACGGCATGCTATACAGCAACACCAAGACATAGGAAGACGCCTAACGTTTCCAAGAGGATCTTGACTCACTGCAACGCTGGGAGCGTGATTGGCTGATGGAATTCATCCCACATAAATGTCAGGTTCTACATGTCATCAATAAACGCAAATCCATCATCAAATTCACGGACAGACCCTAGATGACAAAATATAGCAAAGTATCGAGGTGTTGAGTCGCAGAAAACCTCAGCTGGAACCCACATATCAACATTATCAGCAAATACTCCAACTCCACCTGTGCCTTCCTTCAAAGAAATATCCAACCATGTCCTAGAAAAGTTAAATAATTGTGCTACGATACTCGCCTTCAACCAATCATGGAGTATGCCATCATCATAATTATATGGGACCCTAACACTCAAACAATTAGCAATCATCAAGAAGCTTGAAATGGGTCAACGGCGTTATGTCCGCTCCTACTGCAATGACCACTGCAGGACAAGCAAAGTAGAAGCCATCCTGAACCAGCTCAAGTGGCCAACGTTACAAGAACGCAGGGTACAGGCTCAGGTGGTGATGTTCTTTCGTATCAACAACCCGCTGAAAGACTTTCCACATACTTTCCTCACTCCATCAACATCCGTGCACAGAGGGCATTCCAAGAAGATAATTGTTCATTTTGCCTGAATGCTTGTCTAAAAGAGGAGCTTCTTCCCGGAAACAATAAGACTCTGGAACTCCCTCCCTTTGAACACCGTCAATTGTACATCTGTTTAACAGCTTCAAGCAAGAGTTTCTTGCTGTGCAGCTCCTGCTATGACTAAACAGTCAAATCCTAGAGAGGCAGGTCCTGTTGCAGTTGCTGCAGACAAATTTCATGTGTGGCTGTGCTGTTGAAGCCGTGGCTAGCTGCCGTCTTTGTTGTATTTTCTCCTCCCACTGTTCTACTCTCTTCTGATCACTCCTCTGTATACATGTCTTCACAGCGCATCTCCATTTGGGGCAGTCTGAAGCATAGGCTTCCCATTTTGTAGGGTTGATTTCACTGGCCTCCATATCCCTCTTGCACACATCCATGAAGCGAAGGCCAGGTCTTCTAACAGTCCTGGTTCTGGTCGCTAACTTTCCGTACAAGATGTCTTTTGAAATGCGGCCTTCTTCCATTCGACTGACATGACCGAGCCATCTCAGCCGTCGTTGTGATAGAAGAGCGTAGATGGTCATCATCCCTCCTTTTTGAGGACATCCTTGTTTGGAATGTGGTCCTGCCATTTGATGCCTATGATTCGCCTCAAGTAGCGGAAATGGAAAACATTCAAACGGCGCTCCTGACTTGCATACAGGGTTCACGACTCACTGCCATACAGGAGAGTGCTGAGCATATAGGCCTGGTAGATCTTCATTTTCGTGTTGGTGGTTTATAGTAAAGTGTTCTTCCAGGCCTGCTTTGAGTGTCTAGCCATCTTGGTTGCTGCCTTGCCAATGTGAACGTTGATCTCGAGATCAAGGGAGAGGTGCTTAATACATGGAGCCGAGGTAGGTGAAGTTTTCAACCACTTGGAGGGTGTAGTTTAATTAACATTGGAGGATTCGAAAGTCTATGACACCAAGTTGATCTACTCTAGAGTAATAGGACTGCAGGCAAGTTGAAGATATGTCAATATCAAGAATATTTTGTCATGGAAGCTTTCACCAGGTCAAAGGCGAACTTGAAGAATTTGACAAAGGTTGACGTGTCACTTGAACAACCTTGTACAGCCCGTTTGATGGTTGTACTCTACTCTGGATTAAAATCTGATGATCTTTGGTTGGTGTGCCACCAGGGTTTCTAGAAGTCATGACGAATCGAGAGTCATCCAAAAGAGTTTTCCCACCTCACTGCTTCCCTCCCAGAAACTACTGACAATAAACTACAGTTGATCGACATCATATACCGGTATGCGTGATTCTGCAGAATGATGAGGTGTTCAGAAATAGGCAAGAGCACAAGCTGGTCATTACCGGTCAAGATGATGTATCTGTTGAAGTTATACCAGGCAGCGATGTCATGCCAAGGGAAGATCTTTCCATAACACATGAAGAAGCAGACAACATCATAGTACAGCAAGCGATTCAAATTGCTGCTAATGAAAAAAGGTATGTTAGGGTCCTGGCTGTTAGGGTTAGGGTCCATCATTATCTACATGAATAACTTAGAACGCAAATGATCATGGATTCATCAAAGAGCGAACTGTTATTGACATTCCTGCCACTGTACACAAGTTAGGAGATATCATTCCATCGATGTTGGCAGGACATGCGTTGAGGGGATGCGACACTATTGGGGCATACTTTGGGATTGAAAAGGGTACATGCATTGCTGAAAGTGATGAAGCAGAAGATTTGACTCCCTTTGGACTCAGTTGGCAAGAGAGCTCATCTGCAAACATGTGTGTGGAAGCACGCCTTGCAGTCACGACCCACATCATTGGATCCTACAAAGTATGGCTATGCAAAAGAAGAGGAAACCAAATCCCTGATCCCTGTCACGTACTTACAAATGTACAACTCGCACCTGACAACATATTAAGGTTAATACGGTGCACTTGTGCGAGTGGAAGCCTATGTAAATCATCACGGTGCCAATGCAACAAAGCAAAACTAGCATGCACAATTTTCTGTGGTTTTCGCGCCCCTGTCGAGTGTTGTAACGATCAAACTAAAGCAGCAAATGATAGCCATTGGAAGGTAACCATGTTTGGTCATTTTGGGTGGATATAAATTCCGTTGTAAGAGAGGAACCTTTTTATGATAGGTTCATATAAAAGAATGTATTACCTCAAAATACAAATAAAATTTCGGAATGCTGTCACTGAAAACGGGCATTTATAACCATATGGCACCTCATATCTATGGGACAGAGAGCATGAAATTCTAGCTTGTTTTCTTCAAGTATTAAAGATAAAGACCAGTAATGGTCATGCGATTGCATTGTGAAAGAAACGTTGTGGAATCGATCAGAAAAAGGTTGATCATCTAGCTTATAAGTATTGGTGTGTACTGCAAGGTTCTGGAATCATCAAAACGATTAGAAATTTGGCCCAGTCTTTGTAAAGTTACAAGCAATGTACACAGAAGGATGTATATGGGACTACGCGACACGTGCGCGATATCTACCAGGTCTAAATAGATATAATAATTTACCAAATATATCAATTAGTAGGCGGTTTCTCGGCAAAATGTGTATTATCACGTATTAGTCAAAACATATTCTTTCACATGATTGGTGATAAGAGCTTCCATTTCATTTTTTGAGAGGGGGGCGTTTCCAAAACTGATCTTTACCTTTAAAGTACAAAATAACAAAAAAATCACACCAAAATGTGGTGCACAATTTTTTCTAATTGTATTCAGTGCGTCTGACTTATAAAAAATGTTAATTTCATGTTAGAAATTGGCATTTGGTCATCATTTAAAATTTGCAAGTTAACGTGTCTATAGAGGGCGCCAATCTGAATTATGCAAATTTACATGCCATTTGTTATCATACAACATCGTCAATTTTTACTTAGTGATGATCCTAGACAAAATTAAGATATTTGACTGACATTTAATGTAGAAAAATACTGTAAACAATTTTGTTATCATTAATTTTGGTAAAAAAGGGTATTTTGGCGGCCATTTTGTGTGACGTCACATATCTCAAATTGCTCAAGGCTGACAGAGTGTCAGCAATCGGATTCTTCAAATTGATGGTCTAAGGAACTATAATCCAAAAAAAAAAAACTATAGACCCTAAAACAAGGTATATCGAGATGGCTGCCGGACTATTTTCATCTGACCGTAATCAAATGCCTGAAACCCCTGAGATTCAGGGGTTTCCGCACCCTCGACCCCACAAGAGGCCCTAAGGCGGCCCCTGAATGCTTATCTGACCGTAATTTGCCTTCAACCCATAACTGACCGCAGGCGTGTAGCCAGGGGGGCAGTGGGGGCGGCCCCCCCCCCAAAAAAAAAAAAAAACGCCGGCCAAAAAAAGAGAGGAGAGAAAAGGAGGACGTATGAAGAAAAAGGAGCAGACAAAAAACATTTTTGAAATTCAGAAAAGTATTAAGAGTCGAAAACGGTACAACGAATCGTCTTCTTTCTCTAATGAAACGTAAAAGCTTCCGCGCTTCGCACGGGAGGGGGAAAACTGCATTCATACGAGGATTATTTTCGAAAACGGTACAACGAATCGTCTTGTTTCTCTAATGATTAAATGAAACTTAAAAGCTTCCGAGCTTTGCGCGGGAGGGGGTGAATTAAGACGAGGATTAAGAGTCGAGAACGGTACAACGAATCGTCTTCTTTCTCTAATGATTTAATGAAACGTAAAAGCTTCCGCGCTTCGCGCGGGAGGGGGAAAACTGCATTCATACGAAGATTATTTTCGAAAACGGTACAACGAATCGTCTTGTTTCTCTAATGATTAAATGAAACGTAAAAGCTTCCGAGCTTTGCGCGGGAGGGGGTGAATTAAGACGAGGATTAAGAGTCGAGAACGGTACAACGAATCGTCTTCTTTCTCTAATGATTTAATGAAACGTAAAAGCTTCCGCGCTTCGCGTGGGAGGGGGGGGGAGGGGAAAACTGAATTCAGAAGAGGATTAAGAGTCGAGAACGGTACAACAAGTCCTCTTTTTTCTCTAATGATTTAATGAAACGTAAAAACAAACCCCCCCCCCTTTTTTTGATATTTTAAAATATGCCAATGGCTGACCTAAAAAAGGTGACCTCACCCCCCCCCCAACGGAACAAAATGTCAAATTTTCAAATTTCGAAACCAAAAAAAAAAAAAAAATAAATATAAAATAAGTGTCCTCCCCCCCCCCCCCCCCCCCCCCCCCCTCTCCCGCTTATTCAGCGGCTGGCTGAGTCGTTGCGATTTTTTTTTTTCGGACCAAAGAAAAAAAAGTGGCCCCCCCCCCCCCCTAAGAAATCCTGGATCCGCGCCTGGTTCAATATACTTCAAGTCTTGGGTATATGTGGGTTTATTATTGCTCGAGACTTGTTTATATGTCTCATATGCAGTTATCTTGCTATAGTTTGGTGGCTCACATCCGCATTATTCGCAATAGCATTACTGGCCACAAAATGAGTTCTCGTTGTCGAGATTGGATGGTTGTGGGTTCAATACCTTTGGCATGACATTTAGGCATAATCTTCACCTATCTCAATCAAATTGAATGTCCTTTTTACGATGTGAATTAACCGATAAACTTTGCCACTCCTCACCCAGGTTCTTGCCATCTATTCGGGATCCTTTACTACAAATCCAGGGTTTCAGAAATAAAAATCAAGAATTCCTGGTTCCTTTTCTCCCTCTTCATTTATAATGATAATCATCGCCTCTCTAGTTGCAAACAATATCATGAATATGTCACCTACAGGCGCGGATCCAGGATTTCTTAGGGGGGGGGCACATTTGAAATCCATTTAAAATTTAGTGTGCTGAAATTTGAACATCGTGCCGGTCAATATTTCGCTCAGTGGGGGGGGGGGGGGGGGGGGTAGTGAGCACTAATTTTTTGTTGGCCCTCGAAATTTTAAAAATCGCACCCCCACCCCCCCCCCCCCCCCCCCCCGCCCTCCTTGAGCGCCAGGGGGGGGGGGCATCTCCAAAGATAAGACAAAATTAACGTGTTTTTACAAGTTTTTTCACCAGGGGAAGGGGCCCCCCCCCCCCCCCCCCCCCCCCCCCCCCTCCCTTGGATCCGCCACTGGTCGCCTAGTCGGATTTGACTTTCTTGGTTAAACAACTATTAGCGACGCATTACGGCTGGTAAACAGACTATTCAAGAACGATGGCTGCCGTACGATTAGCATTTACCAACGTGGTCTCTCGCTTTCCAACTACAGTTTGTAGTCGATATATTGGTGAAAATGTTAGAAGATACAATGAAATAGCCGTATTAGGTGAGCATCGATCAATCAAAGCGTGATACATAAAGCTATCTAATGAGAAAATAGTGTAATATCGGATTTAGTTTTTACTTAATATTGCAAGGTTACAACTTACATGATTTGCAGTATGTGGGGTAATGTTATAATCATAATGGCGAGCGCCGGAGCCTCAGTTTCAGTGTCTGCACATTTTCACTTGAAAATGACAATAACTTGCTATTACTTTCTTCTAATGCTTCATCTCATAGTAATCCTTTTATACTAGAGATAGGAGGTGCCAACAAATTTGTCAAAATTTAAGCAAGGATAGTCGCGATCGAGTCAAAGTCATTTTCAAAAGAAAAGGCTGCCGCATCATTTTGAGTTTGACATTCTTGTTAGACCTATTTCTTCTTCTTCATTGCAGTCTACTCTAACTTTAGACCGAAAAAAAAAAATTTAAAAAAACTGTGCGCCATCTACACGTTCGTAATGGCGTTATCACATTTTTTCCTTCATAATCATTTTTGCCTTCGGCGTAGACTAGAAGGGATGAGATTGACGGCAGCGAGAGTTTAACACGGCTTGCAAGATTTTCAACATGGATGTCGATTTTGACCCATAATTTCCTTAAAAGGGACCATTAAACGGATTATTTCAATCAAGTTAGTAAGTGGAACCGATGTATTATAGCCTAGGCCTAATGTAAAATTGGATATGCACGAGGTAAAATGACATTTTGGGGGATTTTGGGGGCATAACAATACGGCCGTGGCAAGTTTGTTCATGTTTGTGGGAGGGGCCTAACGGCTAAAATCTAGCCGTGATATCTTCAACATAGGCTGGCATAGGCGATCGTTCTGTCTCTATAACCGGAGGTCTAGTGGAGCCAGACGTAGTCTCAGTGGAACAACCGACGGTATAGAGACTGAAGCTTTCGGTCTACTCTAACTTAGGCCTACTTTCTTTCTGCTTAGATTCTTGCAGAATTTTGTTATAGTGTGTGTCATGAGGGTATGTACCAATAATTAACCAGTTGCAAGTAAAAGCAGTATCGATAGATTGCCAAAAACAAAGGTTCCCATGCTGTGTCTGTGCACTCCTCCTCATTCATTTTACATGTTGTACTTGTGTAGCCTTGTAGGTCTAGAAAATCTAGATCTACATGTAGTTCAGATTTTTATGTGAATGATAGCATTTCAAGGCTTGTGAATAAAATTACTGAAATTAAGTTAGATAGTTAATGTGTTTTACTCATTTTGTGCAGGAATACATGTCCTTATACTAGATCTAATATAAAGGTGGATGTGTGCTTGCTCATCATCATGAGTGGTTCTTATTTCATGTTGTCATTACAAACGTGATAGTATTTAAATAAGACAAATGGCACCAATTGCACACATATTTAAATGCCCCTTTTTTCCATCCTTTATAGTAATGGAGTCACCCTTTATTTTCCAACTAATCCTACTCAGATTGCATGAGTAGGTATTGGCATGATTTCCTGGGAAATGCACCTGTTATATCTGTGAGATACACGCTTTTCTTTTCTATTTACATGTAGAAAATCTTCCCAACTTATAAGATGATATAGCAGATATTATATACCGGTATATCTCTTTTAACAAGCTTGTTTTGATAAAGATATTTCAACTCTTCAACTCTGACCAATTTCTTACTGACTCTACATCGTTAAGTTAATTGTTCATTCATTCTGTGCATTGCTTTTTGTTTTTGTTCTGCAGGAACATGGTGTAGGTTGAAAAGTACCAAAAGTGGAATAAAAAGGTAAGAATGAACAACTTATTGGAAAAATGTATCCAGATCTAACTCTTATCTAGTACATCTAACCTTTTCAAATTGTGGTTGGTTCCAATTAGATGTTTGCCCACATATACCTCCACATTCCAGAATTGAAGATAATTTTGTTAGTTATTTGTTAGGGTTATATTTCTGCTTGATTCTTATGTTACCTGGAGACTTAGAATGCTAGTTCTATCGAGTCTGCCCTATAAGTTGTGAACCAGGGGGCCGTTTCTCGAAACCAACTCCATGACAGTCGTATCTTTGTCGCCGACCTACAGAGATGTCATGAAGTGGATAAACCGTTTCACAAAGCCATGACAGACATGATATCGATATATTGCGATACTAACAGCTCAAGAAGATAGTCTTTGTCACGATCCATTTGATTTATCAAGAATAACCCAAAACAAGTTTTGGGGCTAAAATTGTTCAAAAAGAAATATATACATATAAATTCTCCTAAAATAAATAATAAATAGTGTCATTATCAAATGTAGATCATCAAACGATTTGCATATTTCTGTAAAGATTCTTAAATTGAAGAAAAACCGGTGAGTGTTTTTTTTTTGACAGTCGAATCAAAAGTTAGTTGAAGGATACCGTAATGTGATAGTTTATCAATACTAACTTTTTGTTTATTGTGACAAGGAATTTTAGATGAAATACCTTTTCTCAGCCAGTTTTTATTCTAGAGTCTCATAAATACACGTTATATAATTGATTTGATATTGAAAATATAATTTGGAAGAAGTAATTAGAGAGGGAATGATAATGCACATAGGCCCCAAAGGTATGAGGGTATCCTAAGAAAAGACTATAGATCGACTATGGAAAACGGTGTGTAACATTCTTATCCCTCTTATTTATATGTTATAGTTTAATGATTTGTGATTTAATGTTTATATTCAGCTTTTTAAAGTTTCTGTATAATTTGTATTCTCACTTTTGTACATTTGTATTTCGCATCCCAGAGAATTACATACCGAACTCGTCTATATTTTTCTCAAAATGATAGTGAAACTAATCGTATATTTCGCGACCCATGGAATGGCAACAAACTGACTTGTGATGGCACTTTAGAGCAATTAAAAAGATATGACGGGTTCGGAGCAGTGACAACTCACTTGTCGCGGAAGTTGTCGCTCATCTTGGCAAAGACGGCTTCGTGAAACACTTACCGGTAGCTGACAAGTTGCGCGACAGTGGCGAGATGTCGTTGATCTTGTAGTTATGACAATTTCGAGAAACGGCCCCCAGTTGCCATTATCTATAGTATGCATACATGCCAACTGTTCAGATTAAAGAGGAACATTCCTCTTTTTGGGAGAAGATAATTATCATTTTAATGCAGGTGTTCCTCTTCCTGTACAAATTTGTCTGTAGTATTGAATAGGAGAGTTAGGATTGTTCCTCTTTTTTTTGAAAATAGCATAATTTGTACAGATTTCTGATTTTCAAATGTTGGCATGTATGAGTATGGCTTCTTCTTTTCTTTTTCCCCTTTTTTTGACATGCATGCTTCAAAAAGGAATTGGTTTGAAAATTCAATTTATCATAGTTTGAAATTTGGGTTGGGTCTGTTCAACAGATATTTACTTCACGTTAAATACCATCATCCATGGAATCAAGTATGTCAAAAGGTATATCATTCTAGACGATGTTGTAAGTTTTAATACAGTGAGTTTGTTTTTCTTACCAGCCCATCAGACACCATCATGGTTGAATCCAAGGACAAGGATATGATCATCTGCTATCATCCCACCGAAAGCTTTCCGTATGAACACACAAAAGTAAGACATGTTGTATTATACAAGTAAAGAAGATAAATTAAAACCCAAATATAATTAGATGTTTTCTGTAGATTTCCATGATGAGTGAGTAGTGATAATTTGAAGCTTTCGGTAACACCATGTGGTAGCCATACTGAAAAGGCTAATGATATATTCTTTTGTCAATAGAAATCGGTTATGGGGCATTTAGAGGAATTGAGGAAGAAGTATAAGGAAAAGATATGAAGAGGTGATAATAAAATAGAGTTTTATTAAACATACACAAGGCTCTTTTTGCCTTTTTGGTTTTATTTTTTTGGTGTTGTGTACTCCAAAAATGAGATGAAATAAAAGGAGAGGAGGAAAGGGAAAGAAGGAATGATCAAGATTGTTTTGGTTGTGACCAGATACAAGTTTAAAAGTGGAAAATGAAGAATGTAGTTCTGAAGAAAAAAACTGTTGGTATTCCTCTGTGGAGTAGTTCTGAAAATATTTTTGGACTACCGTAGTGGTCCATTAGTCCAAATAGAAGTGTTGTTTTAAGTGCTATTTAGATTGGTACCATCAATTTCTATTTTATAAGTAAAGACAGTATTGTCAGATGTGATAGATAAATCGCTACTGTTATTATTCCTATCTAAAATTCTCTCTTTGCTTTTTAAATTGTGGGTTAGTGAATCTGCTTTTTATTAAGATACCAGGTCAAGTAAAACAAATTATTAAAACAACAAAAATGTTTTAAAAATGGTATTATATGTAGTTTTATTTTATTTATCTTGATTGGATATATTGCCACACATATGAAAGATTTTCAAGTAAAATATTTATAAACCAAGATCATTTATCCATTTATATTTGTTCAGCCAATACCAAGACCAGATCCATCAAGGCCTGAGGTAAGGATTACGTTTTTTTTTCTTTTCTCTTCTTCTTTTTCATTATAGATGGGCAAAATCAACATATATATATATATATATATATATATAAGACCCCTACTTATAATTTTCATTGAATGAACAATATGTTATATAATATAACATATATATATATATATACACACACATGTATATATGCATTATATTTGCTTTAAAAAAAAAGTGTATACCGGTAAGATAATTAATGTCCCTTATTCCTATGTCTAAGATAATTAATGTACGGTAGGTCATATGTAACAAATCAGTTCAAAATTTCAGTTAATCTTGTAGTAAGTAGTTGTATTTATTTGATAGCCAAGCTAGACCATTGACATGCTAAAATATCTAATAAAAATGTTTATACTAGTATGCTTTATAATGTTTATTTCAAGAAGAAAGACAAGCTTTCCTTAGTCCCAAAATATCAGATTCCTTGAGATTCCCTATTGAAGGTAAAGACCAGTTTTGGAAACGCCCCCCTCTCAAAAAATGAAATGGAAGCTCTTATTACCAATCATGTGAAAGAATATGTTTTGACTAATACGTGATGATAAACATTTTGCTGAGAAACCGCCTACTAAGTGATATATTTGGTAAATTATTATATCTGTTTGGACCTGATAGATATCGCACAGGCATCGCGCACATGTCACATAGTCCCATATACATGTACATCTTTCTGTGTACAGTGCTTGTAACTTTACCAAGACTGGGCCAAATTTCTTATCTTGTTGATGATTCCAGAACCTTGCAGTACTACCAATACTTATATGCTAGATAATAATAAATAATAATAGTGGGTTCTTGTATAGCGCTCATGTCAGTCAGATTTGACCCTCCTGGCGCTCCCGATTATTACCCTGGCTGATCAACCTTTTCTGATCGATTTCACAACGTTTCTTTCACAATGCTATCACATGTCCATAACTGGTCTTTATTTTTAAAGCTTGAGTGGTGGTTAAGAAAATCAAAACAAGGGACAGGAGTAACAAATAACATCATTATGAAGCTCTAGTGTAATATCTGTTAATGTTATTATATTCTATTTTTTCTCCATTACTAGGAATCTGCTGAGGGTATGCTAAGAGTGAAATTCAAATCAAAGAGCTGGGATAAAGAGCGTCATGGTCCATCTATTGAGGAGCTGAGTGATATGTTCTATACTACCAAACACAGATGGTTTCCATTGTAAGTCATATACATATACATTCTCAATCCCGGTGTCATTGATTTCGTTTCGTGAGAATTCTCATAAGGTCTTTACACTTACCAGTAAAAATTAGTAACGATGCCCCCACAAAAATGGAAAAAAAGATACGTCATCAACTTTTTGTATGAAGATTTAATGGATAAGAGTATTCATGGATACAGATATTGGATGAAATGTCATTGTTCATTTTCTGATTGTATTTATGTATATTTTCTCCCAAGATATTTTCAAGATGCCTTTTTTTTCTTCTTGATATTTTCTACAGAGGGATAAGGAGGAGGAATCTTGCAAAACCCAAATCACCTCGGGATCGACCTGTCTTTTGATAGCACTGAAAGCTTTTCGTCCTTTTGGGATCTTGAACTTTTCTACAGGAACAAATACATATATGGGAGAGGGAATCTAATCAGTGCATGCATTTCAATTATTGTAGAATTGATTTAAAACTTGCAAGTTATAAATAGCTTGGCTCATTGCTAAATGTGAATGGTTGTAAATTATTTGTAAAATCATACCATGATGAAATGAGGATAAAATCTTACTCTTTATGCTTAAAATCTTGTGTATGACTACTGACATTCTTGATAAGTTTGAATACCGGTAGTTAGAAGATGAATATGCAATAAGATACTCATTGATCATTTGAACAGCTTTTTAACTCATTGTCTATGAGAACTGGGTGATCCCTGTATTAAGCCTATGGAGAAGATAGAATGCAGTAGTCTATATAGGTTAAAAGGCAATCCAACCTTTAAAGGTACTATGTCCCTTTTGCAGCCAACCTCAAATTCTGTAGAACTTTGCAGGAATTATGAATATGTCATGTATGTCCTATCTGTGAAATTTAAACGTTAGCAGTGTCCTAATATTCAAATTATGCAAGGAAACCCGTTTACTTGCTAGACTTCACTGTCAGACACTATTGAGTGACTGACTGGCTTTTTTTCTTCTTTGGTAATAACATACATGAAAAGAGTTGTAAAGGGTACCTGAGCATTTGTCTACATCAATAACCCACTTCTTGTGATGGCCAAGATTAAACTGATTGAATCTTTGCGCAGCATAAAACATATGACCATTCAGTACAATTGTCAGAAAATCAAGACTATTACTTTTGGGCTCTATAGCCCTAAAGTCGATTTGACGACTAATGGTCGTTATTTTCCCACTTGAAGACATTTTCAAGCCCCACCTTTTTTAGGGAAGTTCTAAATTAGTATTATCTTTCAAATGCAGTTGGAATTTAACTTTTTCATTTTTTTGGCCTGCAAATGGGACATAGTACCTTTAACAGGCTTTTTAAAAGTTTGAAAGAAATTGGTCAAATACTCCAGATGGTTGTCAATGAAAGCTGCAATCACTAAATTTATGTGAATCTCACTTTGATGAATATGTCACTCTACACTGATGTCATTGCTGACAGCTTTCCTATTTGTCGTGCATTCAGATATCATGTACATGTATTTTCATATATATTTCCTTTCCAGTAAAATATCTCCCATGGCTATACCGGGTACTCAAGATTTTTTATATAATTTTGAATGTCATCCATTTAAAAAATATCCTACTTAGCAAGTTAGGACAATTAATGATGTTTTTAGTCATTATATAGTACAATTCATAAACCGTTGCTGTGCATTGTGCAAAATATAATGTGCTTGATCAGTGATGGTAAATTGATTTTACAAAATTATTTCTCGTCCATTAATGTTATGTACTTTTGATAGCATTTTCTAAGCCTCAAAGTAGGTCATGTAAATATACTGCATTTACAAAAAAACATCAAGCTCAAATAAAAACATGTCAAATTATAGGAAGAAATTCGAAGTTTTGTTGTTGTTATTGTTGTTCCTGATTTGTTTTTGAATATTGTGGTAAATACAAGAACAACTTGCTACATTAATGAATGAATATATTTAATAATAATAACAATAATACTCAGTTTTTATATAGCGCTTATTACAATCACTAAGCGCTTCCAAACTTGGAGATTATTACCCCGGCTTTAGCTGTGATGCCATTACGGCGCTCTAGCATTTCAAAGAATTAATTCCTGCCAGGTACCCATTTACATCACCTGGGTTGAGTGTGGCTAATGTAGATCAATGTCTTGCCAAAGGAAATTAGTGCCACGGCGGGTCTCGAACTGTGGGCCTTGTGATCGACAGTCCGGCAACTTAACCACTCGACCGCGGAACCTCTACATTTGTGAATTTAATTCCCCAAACCACTCTCTCTCTCTCTCTCTCTCTCTCTCACACACACACACACTTTCTTACTGATTCACTTGGAAAACTCACATGGGCGTTTGTTGAAATGTTAGGGGCATTCATGAGAAGGGAAATGGGCTCTTATTAAAAAGGAAAAGGGGCAATTATGATTAGGAAAAAGGAGCTTGTCACAGTATAAAGGGCAATTATCAGAGGTGAAAAGGGGCACTTATCTTCAAAAGGAAAAAGAGTACTTATTACAAAGAAAAGGGTACAGGTCAAAGGAAAAGGGGCAATCATCAGAGGTGAAAAGGGGCACTTCTTGCACCTGAGAATTAGAGGCGCTCACCAGTGATGAAAAGGGGAGCTATTGACAATGAAAAATGGGCATTTGTTGAAATGAAAGGGGCACTTATCAGATTTTAATAAGGGCATTTATCAGGACTGAAAAGGGACATTTATGAGAAGGGGAATGGGCTCTTATAAAAAAAGGAAAAGGGGAAAATTATCACTATAAGGAAAGGAGCATGTATCAAAATAAAAAATGGGCACTTATCGAAGGTGAAAAGAGGAACTCATCAGAGATGAATAGGAGCACTTAACAAAAAGGCAAAAGTCAATTATTACAGAGGTAAAGGGGTACTTGTCAAATAATATGTGCACCTCTCAGATTTGAAAAGCAGCAATAATCAGAGATGAAGGGGGCACTTATAAGAACTGAATGCATTTTTTCGTACGTGAAATGGGGTAATTACTAGATATGAAAAATGACACTAATGAGAATGTAAAAGGGACACTTATTGCCAAGGAGCACATGTTGGGGGAAAAGGGGCACTTAATTGTTGAAGGAAGGTGGGCACCTATATATAAGAGTTTATTAGAGGAACAGCTCTTATTATAAAAAATGGGAGCACTTCTCACAAGAAAAAGGGGCACATGTTTGAAGAGGAAAAGGGACATATGTCAAAATAATTTTAAAAAACGGGCTCTTTGTGGGTACTTAAAAGAGTGGGGCACTAGGTGCAAGCGCTCCCCCCCCCCCCCCCCCAACTCTCAAGCGCCGCCTCTGAAACGAATGCATGTGAAAGGAATGGTCAAGTAGTATACAGTTACACAACCAGTGCATGCTATTGGATTACCTTGCAACGTGTGCTTTGACGAAGAAGGAATAGAAGGAAAAATACCGGATATAATTCGGTGGAGAATAACATTAAAAGAGATATGAGGGAACGAAATATGACATACAGAGGAACAAACAGGAAATATAATTACAGAGGAGAGTCGGGAGGAGAGTGGATTGAGAAGTACTCGGGTAACCAACCCCTGTTATTAAAGCCTAATAATTAATGGTTCATGGAATAGTAGTAAATTAAATTTGCATCTCAAAGATCTAAAAGTAAACTTCATTCATTTGTCAACAAAACTACCTTCTTATCAACAAAGGAAATCTCCGTGAAGACCATACACGAACCAGGGAGGTGAGACTTTAACTCACATGCCCTGCACGAACAGTAAATTCAATAAGCTGCATTGTTCTTTTCTTTGCACGTTAGACAGGTGTGATCGAACTGCAAAGGGATAATAGTAGTCTTGTTTACATACCAACTATTTAGTAAATGTTCAAATCTTCATTGTCCTACTTTATTCTCTTCTAGATATGTTTAGAAGTATTCATAAGGATACTAAACCATATCAATTTCAAAGGTTATCTTGTTATAGTCAATCAAAACAGGTTTCTTTGGGAAAACAAGTCGAATCGATGAAATACCTAAAATTTTAGGGTCTGATTTTCCAGACCAACACAGACAACAGCTCTCTTGGCAACAAGAAAATGGCGACGTCCATGGGTGGAAAGGCGTTTCTGTGAGCTGCGACAGTGTGTAGTTTTGCACCATTTTCCAACGAAATATGTTGCGGCTGCATAGTGCTGAGTGAGGTATGGATAAGACATGTTTTTCCTTCCTTCGTACAATGTGAAATTGAGTAAGAATTGGACTTTTGGCAAGCTACTTAACGATGTTATTTGCCGATGTTTGTTTTGTTTTTCCAATCAGCACACCATGCATGGCCAAGGTGCAAGGCCACGGGGTACGGGGCGGGTTCGGCACCTAAGCTCAGCTCACGCAGAGCCACATCGGCGCCGGGCTGTGGTTGTTGTGTCCGAACCGTTAACAAAAATAAAGGCCATCACTTTTGCCTTTGAATTTAACAAAATGTATGCATCAAATAGCACTAACCATAATGCATATTCATCCTTCAATATCATAACATTTTCTATCAATCATACTTTGCCATGATTAATACGACTAGTCTAGCCCTCGACCTCTAGATCTAGACCTAGAGTAAAGGAGCCGGTAATCGGCCAGCTCCAGTTTTCGGCCGATTGGTTGGATGCAAGGTAAAATCACTCTAAAATACATCGCATAATAGCATAACACATATCCCACACAATACCATGCCAGTGTCACTGAAGAACCACATTTGCAATGAAAAATATATCCTAAAATATCACATTTTAGCGATGTAATCGGCGGTCCCGCTACCCGAATCTGAAAAATTGAATATCTTACGCGTGTCTGTAAGAAATATGGGTACCATGAAATGAGCTTTATTTCAAGTATTTTTCAGATTTAGAGCCCGATTTTGTGCTAGTCGCAAGCTCAAAAGTATCTCATCGCATGTATTAAATCAATGCAGCCGCACACCGCAACGCACACACGATATGTCTGTCTAATTCAGATTCCAACTTCCGATCACCGCTGTGCCTGTCTTCGGCCAGGCGAGCACCAGGGAGCTCCGGCGTGGGATACCTGCTCCGCCCGCTTGTACTGTACATCAGCGCGGAAACGCACGGCGCGCGCGAGCGCTTCCTATTGACTTTGTACATGCAGCCGTAAACTGAAACGCTCGGCCGATAACTGGCTCCAAAACAGTGAAAATTGAAATGAATATTGTCATGGCAATTCGTGATTTTTTTCTGGGATTCTTTTTTTGTTTAAATAATGATAATATTTGCTTCATGATTTGAACAAGAAATGATAATAAATAGGAAGTAAAGAGTCCAAAAAATAGGATTTTGTCTTAAGTGGCCGAAAACGGGCTCCTTTACTCTAATTCTGAACAGTTTATTGAATCCTTTGACTTTGTGTGCAAGGTGACAAGCCAAGGGTTTGCATGTGATTTATCAAAAAAAGTAACCCATCAAAGTCGGTCTATGATAATGTCATTTTTGTAAGGGCAGAATATGATCTACAATCAGTTGGTATGGCTTTTTATATACAATTTTGATGACATCTCTCATTGTCTCAAAGAGAATATTTCCAGACCTTGGCCTTGTCAGGAAGTTCATATTTTTTTCGGAATGGATGCCAAAGACTGGATAATTTGCTAATTTTTTGTCAATATTTTTATAATTTTGCACCCTATTCCGAAGAAAATGTTATGTTTCTCTTTATATTGGTTGTACTTAGTTGTAGACCTATCAGATTTTTGAAATCTTACAGATCTTTTGAGAAATGGATCTTTGTGCGAATTAAGGACATGCACGAACTTCTACTTCTACCTCTACGACGATACTCAGCAAAATCCATAAGTCAGGATGTAGTGCTGAGGAATAAACTATCTAGTTCTATGGTCACACTACCATAAAATTTGACTTCAAATTTACAAAGATTAATTTTACTTTCATAGATCTCCACTAATACTTAATACTTTCTTAACCCAGGTACATGTACCTGTAGTCTGTGACACAAGTGCCCCCCCCAAAAAAAAAAAAAAAAAATCAGTCATGATTGTACTTTTAACCCACGTTATATAGAAATAACCAGAAATTTCAAAAAATATTCAAATGTGATTACATGTATGTAGGCCTAGATGCCATTTGCTTTATGTTTTTTGGGATCTAAGAAAATGACCAAGCCATTGTACATTTAAAAATATTGGCACTGTTTTACGCTTTTCATGTACAGATCTCCATTCAAATGTATTGTTTAGTTTCCTTAATGGTTACAAATGATTTAAGTCAAACAATTACAGTATTGTCTCTCTTCCTCTTTTTCATCCTGATACTACAGGAGCACAAATGACTGCCACATTGCAGGAAAGTGGACAATAGGCATGATGTTTGGGCCTGTACACCACATCCCATCCCCCTACTTTTTTGATCAGAAGCAGGTTATTCAAAGGCCTAAGAGGAGACGCAAACAACCTCAGGAGCTCCCTCGTAGCTTACGTTTTGCCAACCTCAATCCTCGCCTGGCTGCCTTCCTCAGCAGCCAGGAACGTCAGAAGAAGAAGCAATTAGAAGCAGAGTCAAGTGGGGGATTCTTTTCCTCCGACCAAACGTCTTTCCTGAAGTACTCCGAGGAGGCAGGCAATAGTTTCTTTGCTCTTCAAAACACTGAACTATATCGGCAAATCTTTAGAAATAGCTTTGATAACTTAACACTTGATGGAGAGCAAACTCAGAGACAGCTCTATCATGAATCAGTGCAAGCAGCGCCAACACTCCTCGTCAAGCTCACATCCATTCTCTATCTCTTTGTGGACCAACATCTGGATCTTCCCAGGGAGTTGGTGAATAGTCTCAGCTGTGCCTATGAAGAGCTAACAGCAGAAGCACAGTTTGAGAAGAAAGAATGGCAATGTATTGAGAACCTTCCGGATGATGAAGAGAAGGAGGTAGGGGAAGATGGATTGGAGGAAGATAAAGACTTGGAGGATGGTGCTGTAGCAGAAGATGTAGATGGGAAGGAGAAAAAGAAAAAGAAGAAGAAAAAGTCATCTGGAGAGGACCAGAATCAGTCACCTGCAGATGGATCTCATGTTCCTAAATCAAAATTAGGTAAAGATATTTCAGATTGTTGATAAGTTTTGCAATTTTAGTGAAGTTTAATTTTCCTTGTATGAAGTAAATAAGTACACAATATGTACATTCTTAAAGTAAATACAGGTATATATATTGTGCATACTTAAACTATGTAGTGTTGTTAAGGTTCATGTCTGAATGTGAATGAAATTAATTAAATCATGGTGGATGTGACCTGGGACTCGTTTCCGATGCCTTTTTCAATGACAAATGACTAAAATCAGTGACAAATCTGCTGATAACCAATCAGAAGCAAGGATTTCAGTAGCTTATAACAAAAACTGTAATTTGTCACTGATGACAAGTTTTGTGAAACACCCTCCTGATGTCGGTTTGTTTCTATTTTCAGGGAAGGATATTCCTCCAGGAACTGCAAAGTCAGCTCCACCAGGACGCTCTCTTAGTAAGACTGGAAGAGATGGAAGACTTTCTCTCCTGAAGATAACCCCTGGTCTGGGCAGACGGGCTCATACTGCAGACATTAGCGGGGAAAGCCAAGATGGTTAGTATGCTACTTTACATAATTGAATTTATCTACACTTCTCTAGATACATGTACATCATAACCCTGCATCTTGAGTGTTAAAAGCAGGCTTGATAATTACCTTATTTAAATCGGTTTCCTGATTTAAAATTCAAACAAAAAAAATTCCCAATTTTCTATCCCTATTTTCGTGATTTTTCTTTATTCTTCCCTATTTTTTCCTAATTTTCTTACTTAAAAGGAGGGAATGTTGTTAGATGCCATTTTTTCCCCCCCGAATCCTTTTTTTTTTTTTTTTTACTCCAGGGGGGCGTTGATGAGGGAAAAAAAAGCAACTCACTATCACCTCTGTAAAAGGCAATAAATCTCATGCAGCTAGTGGGCAATTCCACGGTAACGGAAGGACACTCAGACAAGATTTTTGAACTTCAGGTTCATACTAAAAGAAATGTTTTATTAGTATGTATTAAACTATGGGGAACAAAATGTGTTTCAGTCAAGTGGAAAGCTTCATCAACTTCACAAAGTTTGGATAAACACTAATTAACTGGAAAAACCATGTCCATTTTTATGTCCTTCCGTTACCGAGATAATTAATATGCACATTCTTAAACTACTTAACTATAATGACAATTTTTTTGGGGAGAATTAAAGGCACTTATATAGGTATTATATCTGTACTGTTTCACATCTTATACTAATAAAACAGTTCTTTTAGTATGAACCTGAAGTTCAAAAATCTTGTCTGAGTGTCCTTCCGTTACCGTGGAATTGCCCTAGTGCATTGATACCTGTACAAAGGATTTTTCATAGCAGTCAAGTTCTTATTCTTCTGTATAATATGCATAGTGTTTTACTTTGAAGTTAGCATTTAGTCACTAAATTTGTAATTTTTACAGCCAGAGAACATCTTAATGACGTAATCATTTTATGTTTCGTACAGAGAATGGAAAGGAATAACACATTTATGTACATAAAAAGTGGTAGCCTAGATCAAGCATGTATTGAAATCTTTGGAATGATACACAAATTCTACAATATTCTAAGTGATCCTCTCCTTTTTACAACTTGAAGACTTAAAATCAGTGATCCAGATATCAGAAGAGAGGGCAGCGAGACGTTATTTGGGGAGAGGTCGTAGGCATGGTCATACAGCAGTGCAGAATCTCAACATAATTTATGGTAGACATTTTGCAATTATGCCTTTTTGCAGTTGCGTTCTGACACAGGGTCAAGAGTTTCATCTTTGGTTGGAGGTTTTGTTTTACTTTTCCCAGTCCAGGCTTTTTAATTCTGGTGTTTCTTTTTTCTTTTATCGTCTTTTAAGAAAATTATCTTTCTTTAAATTGATTTGTTTTCATAAATGAATGAAGGCATCTTTAGTTTATTTCAGATAGTGATTTTAAAGTCTGTTTTCGACAAGGATACATATACAGTTGCATGGCTACATGTATGTACACTAACATTGGTTAGGAATTTTGAAGGCATTATATAACTATGTTTTGGGTATTCAAAGATAATTACCACTACTTGTTAATACTAATGATAACAAATTAATATTAAAGTTTATCAATAACAACGTTTCCTTACCATTGGTATTGGATTTAACTTCAATTTTGCATTTAAAGTGCACTATCATTATCCTCTGTGGAATATTCCAGTCATTCATCATTTTACTAGCACACTTATTCCCACTCCAAGTTATATTTACATCCTATCAGGAAACCGATGTACACCTGGGTAAAGAGAAGCAAATTAGATAAGATTCTTGGCTCAAGGACACAGGTGCTATGGCAGGAATGAAACCCACAGGATTTGAATCTCTGGTCAAGTTATTAAGTTACATGTACAGTACACATTGCTATCTATACTTATATTCATTATTCTTATTGTTTGGTAATATGCAGACTTGTTGCTCTGTTTCTAGACGATCGCACTTTTCGGTATGAGGATATTTCCCATTTTTCAAAATTGGTTCATTGGTATGGAATTTTTGGGATTGGTTTGGCATATACATGTAACTGGTGGTTATATGATTAGTTGCAATGTATAGTGCCACTGTCACCGTGATATGCATGTCTGTTAACAGATAAAGCAAGCGTTCAACTTCTAAAGACATGTGATAGTGGTCGGAAGAAGAGAAGCACATAATATGTTCTGATGAAAATGTACTCGGTTTATTTTTCTAACACACTGAACAAACTTAGTCTTTTTGCTTGAAAACTGTTTTCTTTTACGGTAGCAAATGGATGTTAATCATTATAGCAAATCTAAACAAGGACAAGTCATTGGTTAATGTTTCACAAAGCTGACTGCGTACGTCTATGCGTTAAGTTAAAAGAGGCTGAGTATCTGCACAAGCACTGATGATATATGTGCAATTTCAATTTGTTATGACAATTAACATCAATCTCACTTATATCTCACTTCAAAGCATTTACAGAATTCACAAATGGCTGGAATTATCTATTCGTTTGTTGATTTTTGTTTTCTTTTTCAAGTTCTGTCTTTTGTTCTTCCTGGATATCTTGACATTTACAACTCTTTATTACATGTATGGTCAAAAGTCGGTGAACAGGAACATTATTGTTGAGGTCCTTACCTACATGTATTGTATTGTTGTTGTTGTTTTTCAATATTTGTTGTTATTGTTTTCTTTTTATGATTTCCAATTTATTTTTACTATTACTGAGTTATTAATCACGGAAAATGTGTAGTTCTATATGTTGGAGGTTCCAAGTCAATATGCTATATATTTTAAATACTGCAAGTTTAAATACTCTCAATAAATGTAAATGTGAATAGACAAAGAATTTGGCCTTATGAGAACCAAGTCCATGTTTGGTTTTTGTGCATGAATACATTTTATGTTTTCCCTTATTTTCTTCAAATTCCTTAACCATTAACCCATAGAATGACAGCTTAAGTTTTAGGGAGTTTGTTGTAGAGATTAATATTATAAATACATTCTAGCTGTACATAAAATATTTTTAAAGTTAATGGTACACTTTTGTTTGTTTTTTGTTCTTTCTTTTATTTGTTTACATGTAAATGTTAACTGATATGTAACAATCTGAATATAATAAATGTATGGAAGTGAAAAGTTGCAATTTTTTTTAAGTTACCCCACCTTTCCTTCCTTCACTATGGATGTTTAAAACTCTTGGTTTATGTTTTGCTAGGTGGAGGTGTAAACCAGCCAAGTTTTCTTCAAGTAATCAGTTTCTCTATCACCAAGGCTAAAGAGGAGACTGGTTGGTTGATCCAGCCTGAGGATCAAGATGATGCCGTCAGGAGAAGCATCTTGGAGACTATCATCATGAGACTCAATCAGTCATCGCAAGAAGCGTAAGTATTAGGCAGATATGTAAGACCTAGACTCTTGGTAATCCACAACTTTGTCATCTTAAAGGGAAAATTCAACATTGTTTATTAGCAAACTACTCTAGAGGAAAGCAGAAGCAAATCAGAGAGGTAGACTTGTGAAATCAGACAAAAAGTGAGATAGTTATGAGTTTTTGAAAGTTGTAATCACCATAGGTTGCGGCCCTTCAAATTGACTGAATCAGTAATGTCTCTCTGATCTACTGGTGGACAAGTTTCCCATTTGTTCAATCACACACACAAAAAGTAAAATTTCAATTTTTCAAAAAACATTTGACTCAGGAGGGCCTTTTTTATGTAGAGGACCTAAATTATATATTTTGAGTAGTGCCTTAAGGGAAAAAAAACAGAAATTAATTATATTTTTTGTCCAAGGCAAACAGGAGAGTTATCTGGGACTACATCATAATCCACTGACCAAACTGCCAATCTGAGATTTACATAGTGAACTCATATTTGAAACGTTCCTAATTTTCTTATTAATGATATGATTTTTTTTAACTTTTGGAATTTTGTTTATCTTATTTTCTGCTTTCATACAAATAACTTATGTCAAGGATTGGATTGCCCTGTGATATTTAGATATTTGAAAGACACATGGAGAGGAAGTTGTGAATGCTTGGAATGAGGAACAATTGCAAGAAATATTTGCAGAAGAAAAGCAGATGGAGATTCCACTGTCATCTGACCCGTTTAGAATTAACTGATTCAGTGAAGATATTCCATTAATAGGCAATGTCTTGTTTCTTAGTGTGTATCCAGGCTTATGTAACTTGTGATCTCTGCTACATATGCATTCAATATTATTGTCTATGATTGTTAAGATCTTCATCTGTGACTGCTAAATCACATTTCTTGATTGCGTTAACCTCCCATTACATATATCACATTAATGAATTTCCACTTGATCATGTCAACCACAGGAAAGTTGCTATGTTTGAAGCAAAAGAGAAGGGCCACACGCATCCGCTGTCTAAGCGTTATTACGGTGATAGCAAACGAGAGGCGTTGGCAAAGTACCTGAGCACCAGCAAGAAGCCAACAACCGTTGCAGTGGCTCCAAGACTGTCATCTACCAGTATGCAGAGGTTACCACCCCCTCCAAAGCTTCCCCAGCCAGCTCCTCAAGAACTCAGACCAAAGTTCATGACAGGTCTTCCGGACGGTTCAGTCACATTGTAGTATCCTTAACAAAATGATAATAATAATAATACATTTTAGAGCGCAGAAACTATCAAACATTAAGTATATATTCTATTGCGCTACAAGAGCTCCTGAAATACTTAGATTTACAGTTAATTGAAAAGATGTGCTTTCAGTTGATGTTCATTTCCTGACTTCCAATGGTAAGTCATTCCAGAGTTGTGGGGCTGCACAAGCAAAACTATTCCTCTTGTCAACATTCCAAATGCTGCATACAAACCAGTATTTGCTTTTGTTTCTTTAAATGGTGATACAAGAATTATATGAATATGTAATTAGTTTAATGATGAAACTTTTATGAGCAGTCAAACCTGTTTTAGTGACCACCTGACCTGTATAGAATGATCACATTTTTGGTTACTCTTGAATATGGTTTCTCATTGAAACCTGTACATAAAGACCACTCTTCAAGTTTCCCTTGAGTGATCGTTATATACAGGTTTCTCTGTATTTTTATTTGGCAGTATGTCATGCATTTTCCATGGACCCTAGCCCAAGATCTTGATATTAAACGTGGGGACTGTTGTCAAGAAATGTCCAAACATGTTAGATACCTTAAACCTGTATTAAAGAAACATGTACATAAAGACCACTTTTTATAGGTTTCACTGTATTTTTATTCGGTATATCATGCATTTTCCATCCATGGATCCTGGCTAACGATCTTGATACCATGGGGACTTTTGTCAAGAAGTTGTCAAACCTGTTAGATACCTTAACCTTCCCTTTACCAGCTATCCATCAGGTCGCGTTGCAATCCTCACCAGCCCATCAGGGGAACACAGAGTAGGACATTACACACACGTGTATGAGGATGACGAAGAGAACTCTTACCTTGCTGCATTCACACCCACGGGTCGAGGGTGTATCTGTGATGAGAAAGGAACCATCAGGTAACAATAGAGATAATCACCCTGTTAAATAGAGAGCCTTACTATCTAGCCCTTCTCTTATACTTGACACTAGTAGACAATGATTAGTAGACTAGTAGATGATTTAATCAGAGAACCCGGAGCAACAGAATATAAAATGCTGAAATGGATTGCTCAAGACCAAGGTACTTGGAGAGATACTTGGTGTAGACTTCTGATTAGGTCACTGAACCAGTCATAAACTGACAGATCACTATTGATGAAGTAGACAATTGGTTTGCTTGAAATGCAGTAAATGTTCTACAATTTTTTTGGAAGTGTTAAATAGAATTGACGCTCGCAGTCTTTTTAGTCAATTTTCTTTTCACAGTGTTCAGGAAATTTATAGCAATATGCACGAGAAACTACAATCTTAAATGATGTTTTTACACTGTTGGTCATATCCTTTTACTGCACAAATTACATGAAAGAGATGATATTTAGAACCTTTTTTTCGTTCTCTAACAGGTTATGGTGCACCGAGAAAGGAGGCATGATAGCGGACGAGGACGGAGCACTCACCACCAAGTGGGAGTGGCCTTTGCCCCACCTCAGGCTTCACAATCCGGTGTCGTACAAGGTCAACGACCACATCACCTTCCGCTGTGTGAACAGGGCAGGGGTCTCGCTGACATTCACCTGCCACAAGGAGACGGCCAAGATCCATATCGGTCAGACCATCATGGCCACAGAGCCTCAAACACAGGAAGAGATGGTAGGTTAATGAGCATTTTTGAATCAGTACTAAGGAGGCGCGATAGCTCAGTTGGTAGAGCAGTGGTCCAAGGCGATGCGCTAGTGCTCTTTGGTAAGGTATTAATCATCATTACCAGGGAGTGTTTCACAAAGATCCTAAGTTGAACTTATCTCTAAGTTGGACTTAACAATTATTGAAAGCCATTAGCATCTATGAAAATATTTTGTGATTTAAAAGGCATAAAATATTGGTTCAAATCATTCATATTTTCTATCATCAAGGAGATTTCATGTTGTTGATGTGGAATTTATAAAAAGTCTAAAATACTTGAATATTTTACTTTTTAATATAATTTATGTTAAGGCTAGATAGAAATGGCTCTCCATAACTTTTAAGTCCAACTTAGGATCTTAGTGAAACACCCCCCAGTTGAATGAAGGACAATGGTTCCTTCTTGAGTACACAATAATCTTCAACTCAAGCTTAATCTCTTGATTGTATGAACAAAGTTTCAAACGATTAGGTAATTTGTAAAAGAGAAAGCAATGATCAAAATATTTTGAAATTTTTAAGAATTTGAATATTTACACCTCCTTCTTGCTATTAAAGCACAATGGTATTTTATTATTATACAACCAGAACAAGATTTAAGTATGACAATTGCTGTGTCTCAAATCAGCACACTTCCAGTAGGGATGACATGCCTTTAATGAGTTTCCGGCCTGCTATCAAAAAGAAGGGAAAGGCTTAATCAGTTTGATTATCTCATTTAATCCTTGTTCATAAGACCCCCAACCTCTCTCCATTTAGAGATTAGAGGCATCAACTGTTTCTTTGTTCATACAATTGATAGATTAAGCTCTGTTCCTTTGTTCATACAATTGATAGATTAAGCTCTGTTCCTTTGTTCATACAATTGATAGATTAAGTTTGACTTGGAGATTATGGTTTGCTCAAGAGGGAACTTTTGTCCTTAGTTCAAAAGAACTTGCATTCTCTTGATATCACCTCACAAAATAGGACTTATCATCAGGGAACTCTATAATCTTCATGTGATCCATGCATTGTGAACAAGGGGATGTAACCAGTGGGCCATCCAGCAAGTCTAACTCTCTCTATAGGTTTCCTTTACCCTGAGCTTGTGGATTTTACTCCATAAACTGCCAATAGGCTATATTCATAATGTAACAAAATTTAAAATTAAATGCCTCGATGCAAATTATTTCTTTCACATGTTACAAATAATTTTATTTCAATAGTGAGAATGCAAATTGCATATATTACATATTGTTAAGTAGGGCAAGCCATAATGTTTGTCCTACCTAGCAACAACTGATGTAGGCAATTTGAATTCTGAATATTGAGATACATTTATTTGTAACAGCTGAATGAAATAATTCCTAATTTGGCGCTTCACAAAGGCATACCGGTATGCATAAATTCGGTTACATTAAAAAATAGCCTATTGGAGTTTGAATTTAGGTCATTCTACAGTTTTAGCTAATAGCTAGCTAACGGAGGGAAGTTTGCACATTGATATTTTGTTGTGAAACTCTCTATCAATGGTGTTTAGATGTAAGATGTGTAGCTAGGCACCAGGTTGGATGCTTTTGTGCTACGTGTGAATTATGTACAGTACATGTACGTGCAATATGAGAAGGAAAGGTCATTTGTAGGTACTTCATTGACAGTCATTAGAGAGTGTCTATCAGATTTAAAGTATAGTCACCCAAAGAATCAAAAGTGTTTTGAATTGATGCAAAATTCATATCATTGCAAAGGGGAAGCCTTACTGATCAAATATAACAACTTCCCTCTTCAAAATATGTTTGCTTTTGGGGCCCACAGTAATCATTTCTCAAAAATTTTAATTTTGAGATCCAGATTTTCTGCCTTCAGCGGTCCTCCGTAGAGCGTCAAGATTCGGTATGTCATATGCGAGACACAGCTAGACACAAAATTGTATTTTACGCCTCACTATAATATCTGTTTGATTTTTCAGCGAATTATTCATGTTTTTCAAGAGAAAATCTTTCCATCCATATATAATTTGTCTATAATTAACAGTTGTCATGAATTTTTTACGGGTGACTACTTTAAGTTTGAATTTGTTTTTATTACTCGTTGATCCCAGGGATATCTGATGTTGCCCGAAGACACGTACACATCTGCAGCAGCCAGTGAGAGCCACGCCCCTCCTCCACCCCCACCCAAGCGTAAGAAACCTAAAGATGTGAACGTGTTAAAACGCGTCCCTAAACCCAAGATAGTCATCAACCCCATGGAGGAAATCATGAAGACGTTAGAGCTTCCTAATATAGGAGAGCATGGGATCCAAGCAGAGAAGGAATTAGATACACTCAAAACAAGAGCAAGGTAAGGGTTGTAGTGTTAGCCTCAGATCATCATTACATTTTCTAATGGTTAATTTTTGAACTATAAACTCCCTTAGATTTGGAAATTGTGATGAAATCTTTTCTTCTTTTTAAAAGAATATTTTGGGGATCAGATTTCTGGAAGAAAAAAAAGGTTTAGGTTATTTGATTTTGGAATTATGATGACATTTTTTCTACTTTTGTTAAATAATATTTTGGGGATATGATTTCTGGAAAAATAAATTTAAAAATATTTAGGATAAACAAGTAAGGGAATGCCATTACAATTATGAAAAAGCCTGTGTGACAAGGCCTTTGCCCATTTATCCTGTGATAGGGATATTTCCCCTTGAAATTTTGGTCATTAACATTACCTTAAAACTTTGTTGCAAAACGAAATGTTTCAAGGAATGATGACATCAATTCATTTCTATTTACCTATAGACCAGAAGGTAACTCAACGCCTTGTTTCATATGAAGTCATTTGATACCTCTTTTCTCCCTACATCAGATACCTACTAGATGAATGGATGGATCATTACCGTATGATGCTCAACGTCACCAATCCTCAGCTTGCCCGGGTAGGAAGCGCAGTCATCGCCACCAGACACCGAACCCGCCTCATCAAGTCAGCCAAGCCCATGCTCGAGTCGGGACCAGATCGTCCACAGTCAGCAGCAGCAATGGACTTCTTGCCCCGTCCCAAGCTACCCATGAGGGCGCCCTCTGCCCCTGCCGTTGGTCGCCTGCACGTCTCCAGACCTTACAGCACCATGTCAATGCCTTCGGAACAGCCCAAGAAGGACGAGTCGCAAGGGAGACAGTCTAGAGTCAGGATAGAAGTAGATGGAGTCGATCAAGGTTACTACTCGAGGTACTCCAGAGGAGGGTCCACACTCAGCAGGTTTGTATTCATGTTTGTCCATTTTTGCAGAACATCATTTTTTTTGCAGTATAGGATACCTTAGCTTTATTTCTTAGAAAAAATACTTGAATTGAGCATTGAGAACTCATTCAGAATACTTATTATCACAATTTCTTGAGATATGTTTTTTTTTAATGAGTATATAGATTCTTGTGATCCCTCTGTTTGGATAACTCCCCCTGAGACATTACAAAATTGGGTGGTGAATTATCCACATCACTTGTTAAAGATTGTACAGGGTGATGCATCTGATTACTTCTTATTTGCATATCTTACAACTTATAAGTATAGGTTGGGTTGTGCAGCATCGGAGCACATTTGATTAACGTTTTTCAATCTTTTAGGTTTGACTATGTGTATCATGATCTAAACTTTTTCTTTTCATTCAGAACCACAAGAGTGAGCAGTCCACAGAGAATGATGTCGGGAAAGACTTCTATCGTAGAAACTGAAGCGAGTGGAGACAAAGCAAGAAGATCAGCTCCATCTATAGGCTGCCCAGCGTATCCTTTCACAACTTACTCATTTTGACCAATGTTTACCTTTACCATATCTTCCTGAACCAAAATATGGTTGACAGTGTTATTTTCATGTAGTTCTTTACGGAAAAAACTATGAGCCAGAAATGTTACTATGATGTTCGCAAGTTTGTAGTTCTCTCATCTCTTCTTGAATTACATTAAAACTGAAACTTTCTACTCCTGTACCAAAATACAGGTTTTGTTAAATTGATAATGATCATGTTGCGTTCCTTGACCCCTACCTATCGTTTTCAGTGTCTTAAGAGCCGAGATGCTAGGAGACACCGCAGGGACATGCAAGTGCAGTCGTCATCGTATCCCTGTCATCACAGATCTAGAGCTGGATAAGTTCTTGACCACCCAGGTACCTCGTGAACAGCTGATGGTCTTGTGTGTGGTTTCGTCCATGTTCCCTGGAGCTATGCCTTGTGGTGACATGCTGGTTAGGCTCTATGAAACCATGAACAGAAACAGGACAAAACCTTGTTATCAGGTAATGCTATTTCTTACCCACTCTGTCTTCCTCTCCCTCTCTCTCTCTCTCTCTCTTTCTTTCTCTCTCTCTCTCTCTCTCTCTTTCTCTCTTTACAAAATGAAATATTATATCGATGCCATTGTTTTCATCGTGCTGTTTACAACTTCTCCGACCTGCTGTATTTTATTGAATTCTGTAGTAGAGGATTTATTTAGTTCCACTGATGGTCTGCTAACTAGGAGATTCCATTTTTATCAGTGCAATAGGTGATTATTACATCATGATCTACTCCTCAAACTCTCAAATTGTTACCAGCAGTTGTTTACTACAAGCATTCACACTGTACTTCTTTTTCTTTGCCTAAATCAATGAAAACTTTAATTAGAAGTGGGCGTGATTTAGCAACCTCAAACTTTACCTTTCCAGCATTGCACTGAAGAAAGATACAATATTAATTGCAGATTGTGATTCTCAGTTTCTGGATACAAGATATATGGCATGAGATTTTGTGCTTGTATTGATGCTGTTTCTTATTAGTGAAGCCCATACCTTTACTGTACTTCTTTTTCTTTGCCTAAAATCAATGAAAAACTTAAATTAAAAGTAGGCGTGATTTAGCGGCCTCAAACTTTAACTTTCCAGTATTGCATTGAACATGGAATGTTAAGTGCAGATTGTGCTTTTCAGTATACTGTATTCAATATACAAGAAGATATATGGCATGTGATATCATGCTCGTATCGATGCTGTTTCTTATTAGTTAGGACCTTACCTGTCCTTCAGTAATTGATTGATATTGTTTTTTGTGTATGTCTGTCTAGTGTCGAGGGGACAGGTACAGACTGTTGATCTATGACACCATCGCTGCTGTTCAGGGAACGACCAACAAACAACCCGAGCTCTACAGAAGACACAATGCAGTACCAGGCATGTTTATGGTGAGTCTTTTTTATGTATATATCTTTAAGGAAATTATACAGCTGTTTGGAAGTGTGAGTTTGTTGCTGTTGTTCGTTGTTTATTTAAATGTTATTGTTATATCGCTGGTTTGTATAGGTTTTATTCTGCTTGGGTCTAATTTCATTCTATGTATTAACTTTATTTCTCATCTTGCCTTTCTCTCCCTCAATTCTTTTTCCTCTCCTTCTCTGTCTGTCTCTGTCTGTCTGTCTCTCTCTCTCTCTCTCTTTCTCTCTCTCTCTCTCTTTTGTTTCTCCATGACCCAGCTGTTTATGTACATGTATCCTCTCCCTCTTGTTGTTGTACATGCACCAATATTCAATGCAATTTATACATTACAATGGGGTCGAATTCACAAGATCTTTAAATAGATCTTTAATCTGATCCCTTCTCAATCGATGTTACTTGTGCTTCCAACTCCTGATTTTACTATGTCCATCTTTTAATATTCATCATATGCGTTCATACGCAGTTTTATGTATCTGTTTTTTATGTACTGAGTGAATAAATGAATTGAAATTGAAAAATTGAAATGTCAACAAAAAATGAGAGAAATTAAATAAATGTATTTTAGTTTTATACATGGGATATATAAAGTTGCCTATGTAATAATTAAAAAGAATAATATTTTCTATTTTATTTGAAGATCTATGGTGGAGGTAAACTGCTCTTCTGTGACCATATCTTCAATGGTTATGGCAATGCAAGGAAAGATTTTCAAAAGCAACTCTCAAGAACACTCAAAGAACACAACATGGGCCATTTTCTACCAAGAGATTTCAGATTCAGGTAAGTATCTACCTTACTTCTAACAATTAATTAAAACTTTGCTAACTGTAAATGAACAAAGGACCTGTTCTCTATAAGGAAGTGTTTGTATAATCCCATTTTTATCTCCTCGCCGACAAAGTTGGAGGGGCTATAGTAACGCTGCCGTCCCTCTGTTCGTAACAAATCTGGTTTCCGTTCAATACTTTTGTAATGTTTGACAGATTTTAATGAAATTTGATACGAAGGTACATGATATCAAAGCACAGTCTTACTTTTATTCAAAGTATGTAAGTGAAAGGTCATAGCTCATTAAATATGAGAAAACACCTATTTATATATGCAAAAATGTGGTTTTCATTCAATAACGTAAGTAATGTTGTTGAGTATGTACTTCAAAGGTCATTAAATGTGCAAAAATTGCTAAATATAAACATTTGTACCAGGCGAGGGGATGTTACGCTTTGCTTTGACTTGTTTATTGTATGTCTGTACGGATTTTATCTTTACTCATCTTATGTAATGACTTGTGATGGAACTCAATGGATTCTAAATCGTCCATCTGTTGGATTGAGAACGGGCTGTCAATCAATTGGGGAATTGGATTCAACTCAGATCTAGCTCATTAGCTTAATAGTCAGGGGTCATTTGCATTTGATGCTGTCATGTTCTGTCTCTGGATATAAATTGAGCAATTAACAATGATGTTTTAATCTAAAATATGTAATAATAAAACATTTTCACTAAAAAAATTACTCGAGAGCTGACATATATCTCCATAGTATTTCAGGGTTCATTCTGCAATGATGAACAAATTAATTATTCATGCTAAAAACCTTGATATATTTTTGACTACTCCCTGCAGTGCAAGCAGGGGTAAGCATGGTCCAAGGTCTGCTTGGGGAGGAGAGATAGGAGGCCCGTACCGACAGTCCAGGAAGGAAGGCGTGGCCTTACCGGGACTAGAGGATCATACTACCGGTGTCGTCCAATCAGCATCAGTCTCATCCCTTGGGAGCAGTAAAGGGCATTCCTTCAGTAGTGTTATACTTCCTCCCAGGCCACATACAAGTGGAAGGTGAGCTCTATCAGTTCATGGCATTATGTGGGGGGCGTTTCACAAAACTTGTCACCAGTGACAAATGACAGTTATTGTTATAAGCTACTGAAATCCTTGCTTCTGATTGGTTACCAGCAGATTTGTCACTGATTTTTGTCATTTGTCATGGAAAAAAGGCTTTGTGAAACGGGTCCCAGATCATATACATTACACCTGCCAAGCTACACTGCTAACTCCTTCTTACTTATCCCTATAATATTCATGTAAATGACTCCCCAATAATATATACAAGTATTCATAGTTATTGACTAATTCAAGTAAACCAGTTTGGAAGTACTGTGGTTTCAGCCTCAGGACCCATTGGGTAGTACATTGGGTAGTCCACTTTTTTTGGTGGACAGTTGCTAAAATCGATTTTGATTTATCATTATTGATTTACCAATAGAAGCCATCATTCTTGTTATGTAATCTTTTGGTATTCAACAATGGAACACTGTATTTAAGAGCTATGACACATTTAATCATATTTTTTTCTTATCAAATTTCTCTTTAGGTAGGTACTTATAATTGCTATCAAAAAAGAAATATGGGCAGCGTTTCATGAAACCGTCATAAGTACAAGTTCAACGACATCTCATTGAAATGCATGTCGGACATAATACCCACATTTCAGTGGGATGTCGGTGAACTTGTACTTATGACAGTTTTTCGAGACGCTGCCATAGTATCATTGATGATTATTATGGAAGATCATCATCACTTATAGAACATTTTGTTGTGTTGTTTTTGTAGATACGTTCAGACAAGGGCAGAAAGCGTCATGAGAAGGTTGCCTCCTACAAGTCATCTGGTAGCCTGAGACATTGTATCTGAACAAAACCCTTGAGCTTTACATAGCTGGTAGATTTGAAAATGAACCTTGCACAGAGGGCAACCTACTAGGAGTCATCAGTCAATCCAAGACATGGTTCTTTTTTGGAATAGAGCTTCCTACAAGGCATCTGGTAGCTTAAGACATTGTCTTTGGACTAAAACTGGCAGCTGTTAGTGTTGGAAATGGACCTTGTAAAGAGGATGACCTTCTACAAGTCATCTGTTAGCGCAAGACATGGTTCTTTTTCAAGAGAAAGCTTTCTACACATCATTTGGTAGCCTGAAACGTGGACCTTGTAAAGAGAACGACCTTCTACGAGTCATCTGTTAGCGCAAGACATGGTTCTTTTACAAGAGATAACTTCCTACAAGTGTTCTGGTAGCCTAAGACACCGACCTTGTACAGAGAACAACCTTCTACGAGTCATCTGTTAGCGCAAGACATGGTTATTTTTCAAGAGATAGCTCCCTACACGTCATTTGGTAGCTTGAAACATGGACCTTGTACCGAAGACAATCTTCCGCAAGTCAACGGTTGGTCTAAGACATGGTTCTTAGACTCACAATGGTTCAGGGGATAATTCCTACAAGTCATCTGGTAGCCTAAGACTACAGGGTTCGTGTTTAGAGGATAACCTCTTACTGTGGTAACCTGAGACAAGGATAACTTCTTAGTGTGGAGTCTGAGACACAGTCATTGCTTTAATAGATGAGAGGCTAGCATAAAACGTAGTCCTACCACAAGATACTCGGTACTTAAACACATCGTCTATGTTTCGAAGATAACCTCCAGCAATCATCTGTTAGCCAAGACAAAATCCTTGTTCAGTAGCTAGCTTCCTCCAAGTTGTGTGTTAGCAATAAGTCCATATTGAAAAAATAAGTACTATAGTGTGCTTGGAATAAAAAATGAAGCATTATGATTGATGTAGCAGAGATAATCATCTTGTTGTTTGGTCCCGTCAGAAGAATTTCTCTCTTAAATTGAAAAAAATATATATCTCTAAGATGAGATACATATATTACAAAACATAAGGAACAGGTTTCTCTGTCCAAAACAATATTCTAAGAAATAAAAACTTCCTCTTTATAATTTATGTGCTACCTTAATCAGACAATAATTGTTGATGATGGGACAGCACTTCTGATATCAGTATTTCGTGGCTTGTGATATAAGAGTATAACCAAGATTCTTATTTGAAGAACACAAATAAAAGCCTTCCAGTTTCATGATACAGGGTTTTAAAGAATGAAGTTCTGTTGTTACTGAGAATATGTCACTGCAGTATATAGCATATTTATATCTTTCACCATATGTCTTATCACCGGTCTGGGATTGCAATCCCTTAAATTCTACAGGATATTGTCTGTTGTGTGAAGATTGATCTAATGCTCTGTATGAGATAAAACGTACAAGTGTGCTATAATCCAGTGGTTTGTATGCATATGAATAAGCCACAAGAAAATATTTTAGATTATTTTTTACAATATACATAGTTCTATGAAATCTGCAACATCTTCATGCCAAATATTTGTACCATATTTATGCAAACTAGTCATGAGATATGCAAATTATGTAACCACATGTCACATGCCATGATCACTGTGAAGTTCAATCCTATATCATGGAATTGGTAGAATCCATAAAGCTTTGTATTACATGCACGTTGCTTCCAGTCAGCGGTAGATGTTTTCATAGGAATAAATAGCAATAAATGCTAACGAAAATGCAGATACAAGATGAACTTGTAAAAGTCAGAGATTCAGAGTAGCAAAAGTTTGAAATAAATCGAACCAACAATAAGAAAGTTATGAATGTTTGAAATATGAGATCACTACAGCTATGCAAATCTCAAATTGGCAATTTTGACAGTAGATTATTATGTAGTGACGGATAACTTGCCCATTTTTCATGGACAACAATATCACTAGTTTCTGTTTTTCTCCCAAGTGCCTTATTCCTTGGGGCACTAGATTCTCTAAAAAGAAAAGACCATTCCAAGTCGCACATTTTTGAAAAATTGAAATTGTAATCATTTTGTGTGGTTGAACAAATGGGAAAAATGTCGGCCACTACATCACAGCTCGCCATTACTGATTCAGCCAAATTGAATAGCCCATACCTATAGTGATTCAACTTTCTCATCTTTTCCCATTTCATTCAAAATTTCATCAGTTTACTTCTCTGACTTTTTGATTGCACTCAACCTTATTTGTATTAAAGAGCTATATTCTTAATTGATTGGTCATTCAATTTACTTTATAGAAACTTGATTTCTTCATAATCAAAGTAGTACGTGTTCCTTATTATTTAAATTCTATGAAATTTAAAGAAATTAGTGACATAAATTGTATTCCAAATGGCGGCTGCCTATGATTGTACCAAGTAATATATTTTTGTTTGGATCAGCTGCTATAGGAGAATTGCAATAAATAGCAATGATGATCTTTGATAATATGATGCACTAGAAGTCACGATGTACGATATACGTGTATATTTATCTTTGAATCAAGAAGTTCAATACATTTTTATTTCATAATTCCCATTGTAGAATATGTATATCTGAAAATAGTGTATTTTTATCAGACGCATGAGCATTCCTTTGTACCGGTAATTGGAAAGTATGATTGGTTGTGTAACATATTTCTGTCTTTGTCATGTAATTTTAAAAATTCATGACTTTTTGTGAAGCAGGTTTTGAATGGGGTGAACATCCAAAGTGTCCGGATAGATGATAAATTCAGGTTGATTAAATGAATATACTTTTTTTTTATTTATTAAAAAAAAATTATATCCAGAGAGGATGAGCATTATTTGCTCCAGGTTTATGTTTTTCAGTGTGTGCATGGGTAGAACGGATTTCTTGTGTGATTTTATTAGGCATTGATATATGTATGACCACTTGGCAGGTAATGTGATTTATGATATGGTCTAGTACATGTAATACCTTGTTTTGCTTGCTCTGCCTGTATGGGATAAAATATTGATCTTTTTTTTCTAGTAAACAATACATCATTGCAAATTTTGAATGAGATCTGATCTACAAACCGATTTGTTTTCACTGTAGTAATTGTAAAACCCATTTTTATGTTGGATGTGCATTCAGTAATTAATACAATTTTTAGATAATAAGAAATTTCAGTCATAGTTATGAGGGCATTTCTCAAATTGTTTTGATGTTGCCAAACATAAACTTATCTAATATATATGCATTGTCCATTTCATAAATTGTGAAATCAGTGATTTATGGGAAAGAGTGCTTTCTTGGAGCTATTAAACCGTCCATTTTAAAGGTCTTTCAACAATCAATTTTGTATATGACATGATTTTGTTTTACTTTTTCAAGACGGAAATAAAAAGTATAAATGTGTGTAAAGGGAGAGAGAGAGGGGGGAGAGAGAAAAAGACAGAGAGAGGGAACAGGGTAAGGATAGAGAGGAAGAGAGTGTATGAGAAAGAAAGAGAGGGGGAGAGAATATATAATCAGAGCATAGTAAAGCAAAGCATATTAGAGAATGCACATGGAATGAAGAACAAAGACGCATCAAATGACACAAAAGGATAACATAAAATAAATAGTTCATATCAACTAATATATTACTAGTTTGTTTCTTCTTCGTGTTTTCATTTATTATTGTTTTATTTATATATTTACTCACTTATTAATTTACTCATTTATTTTATTTTGTAAGTTTGTATTGTGGGGGGGGGGGGCTGAATTGATTGTACTATGTAAAAAAGTAATTTCATTGTCATTACATCAAGTATGAGAGACGGCAAGTGAGAGAGAGAGAGAATGGGGGTAGTGGAGAGAATGTCAGATGAGCTAGAGCAGGAGAAAGCTCACGTCGGGTGAGCTCACTGGGGATCCAGAATGGATTTGCACTCCATTTTGTCATCGATTTTTCCTAGAATTAGTTACAATAGTTCTCTTTAATCTCCCTCCACCCCTCCCTCCGCCCTTCTCTCTCTCTCTCTCTATCTCTCTCCGTGGCTCTCTGACTCTCTCTCTCTCTCTCTGTGACTCTCTGACTCTCTCTCTCTCTCTCTCTCTGACTCTCTCTCTCTCTCCCATATTCTCCTGTCGTCTGATCACCGTGCGTCAGTATCGCAAAGGACAAAGCTGATATTGATGTTGAGAGCGATGGCGAGGTACATGATGCGCCTGACATGATTTCCCATACATTATTTCCAGCATATATTGAAATCGATCGATTCTTCCAAGTGACTTCATGTATTACATAGGAAATGTTTGGACTGGAGTGATATAATGTGATAGAACATGTGGGGTTCCCCCCCCCCCCCCCCAAAAAAAAAAAAAAACCGTTAATGCAAATGACATGAGATTCTCCACAATGTTGCCCTAGAATATTAAACGATTTATATGTCACATGATATGTGTCAATATAATTATCACGATGTCTCGTGGCAGAATGAAATCATTTTACCATCCATACCTCTTTAAATTAAAGTATTCTTTCCTCATAATTGGATTTGTGGGGATGGAAAGCGTTATTTTGGCGGTGCATGATGTACTTTAATAAATCAATGTAAGGCATGCATTTACAAGAGTTTCTTCACCTTGCGTTTAATCTCGTGGGTATTGTCTAACTCCAAGTGGCGGTGTCTTGTCAAAGAATAACGCGGCGGCGAAGATTGAGATGCCAGATTCACCGACGACCCAGAATAAAATCAAATGATCCTTACACCGTGCACATTCAGTTATCATCACAACAATAACAATATAGAGAGAAAGAGAGAGAGAGAGAAAGAGAGAGAGAGAGAGAAAGAGAGAGAGAGAGAGAAAAAGAGATAGAGAGAGAGAGAGAGAGAGAGAGATGGACGGAGAGAGGGGGAGGGAAGGGGTAAAGAATGCAAATAATCAGATGATAGCTAAGACGCCATATTGTAGGTCAGTCAGAGAGGATGAAAGCAGTAGAAAACGAGGAAAAAAATATAGCGATAACAGTAAACAAGAAGAGAAGAAGAAGAAGATGGAAAAGAAAAAGGAGGATTAGGTGGAGAGAGAGAGAGAGAAGAAGAAGAAGACAAAAATAAAAAGAAGAAGGGGGAAATAGAAAGAAGAAGGAGAAAATAAATAGGAGGAAGGAGGAGGAGCGGAAGAAGAAGAAAAACAACAACAACCACAACAAAGAGATAATGAAGAACAAGAAGAAGAAGATGAAGATGAAAGAGAGAACGGAAGGAAGAAAGGGGAATAAGAGGAAGAAGAAGAAGAAGAGAAGGAGGAGGGGAGCAAAATGAGGAAGATGCGGAGGAGGAGGAGGGGGTGCAGAGGAGACTATAAGGAATAGGCAAACTTAGTAGATGCATATAAATGTGTGGTGCATTAAATGATGGAAGAGGAGGGTGGTGAGGAATTGAATTAAATCAATATAATCATGAGAATAAAGGTTGTTTTGTGCACCGACCTTCTCTTTCCGAGGGACGACGGTATAGAGGATTCATAGCGTGATTTCGTAACATGCATTTACATTATAAAATCATGTTAGCGTGATATATAAGAAAAAGGGAGGTCTACTTGTGCGCGAATAGAAAAGAAATACCCTTTCTACTTAATGATTCAATACGATAAACCATATTGAGTGAAATTTGTTCGTCATTAAATCACAGTAAAACGTTCTTTATAATCAGGTCTTGAT